ACTCCAGAATCACGTCCTAGGCCAGAGGCAGACGCTCTACCACTGAGCCACCCAGGTGTCCCAATCTCTTGTAAATATTTGAGTGACTAGAGAGGCAGATTCTTTGTGGTTTTCTGAAGTAGTCTGGGGGTAAGATTTCACTGAAAACTAGTGTCCAAGGGGCCAATAAGGCTGGACTCCATGTTTGATGTTTGATATATCTTCTTTTTTTTAAATTTTTATTTATTTATGATAGGCACACAGTGAGAGAGAGAGAGGCAGAGACACAGGCAGAGGGAGAAGCAGGCTCCATGCACCGGGAGCCTGACGTGGGATTCGATCCCAGGTCTCCAGGATCGTGCCCTGGGCCAAAGGCAGGCGCTAAACCGCTGCGCCACCCAGGGATCCCATGATATATCTTCTATACTGTCTCAACTTTCTACCTTTTATCTCATTCACAGGTGAGCATCCTTTTTAGATTCTCAGCTCCATCTCCTTTGTAACCTCTCCCCATATCTCTACGCCCTTGAAAAATGTCCTTTGCTATATTCACACTGCCATGTATATTAAGACAAAAGGGGAGGGGGGAGTGACAGCTCCCTCATAAAGATTCTCTGATATCTATAGGAACCATTTTATTTATTTTTTTAAAGATTTTATTTATTTATTCATGAGAGACACCGAGAGAGGCACAGAGACACAGGCAGAGGGAGAAGCAGGCTCCATGCAGGGAGCCCGATGTGGGACTGGATCCCAGGACTCCAGGATCATGTCCTGAGCCGAAGGCAGATGCTCAACCACTGAGCCACCCAGGCGTCCCCGTAGGACCCATTTTAAACCAATGCCATCTCCCTTGGACATGAGACTATAAACTCTACAGAGAGAGAGAAAGTAGAGAAAACATCACTAAATCATTCAGTTACTGGCAGTCAGTCATCCTCTATCTTGGGAAGTCACCATTGTTCAGGAAGAACAGAATCCATCACTTTCCTCGCTGTGTGTGTGTTTTGCATAACAAAAGGCAGTTGTTAATTACCCTTTCTAATCCTTTGCTTCTGGTGTGTTCTGACAAGGGTTTGGGAAGAGGTAGGGAAAGCGACTGATAGGATATAGTCCTGGGATGATAGGAAAATCTCTGTTCCCTATCATCACCTCCGGCCTCATTTCCAAATACCTCCTCTCTCCATCCTGCTCAGTAGTGCTTACCCTTTCTCAATTAGAGATCCATGCCTTTGGCTTAAGAGGCTCTACCTAAAAGCAAACATCCCTAGAAGACTTAAGCTCATTAAAACTTGCATTATTTTTTTTTAATTTTTATTTATTTATGATAGTCACAGAGAGAGAGAGAGAGAGAGAGAGAGGCAGAGACACAGGCAGAGGGAGAAGCAGGCTCCATGCACCGGGAGCCTGATGTGGGATTCGATCCTGGGTCTCAAGGATAGCGCCCTGGGCCAAAGGCAGGCGCCAAACCGCTGCGCCACCCAGGGATCCCCTGCATTATTTTTTTAAAAGATTTTATTTATTTATTCATAGAGACAGAGAGAGAGGCAGAGACACAGGCAGAGGGAGAAGCAGGCATCATACAGAGAGCCTGAGTGGGACTCTATCCAGGGTCTCCAGGATCATGCCCTGGGCTGCAGGCGGCGCTAAACCGCTGAGCCACAGGAGCTGCCCAAAACTTGCATTATTAATCATAATAAGAGGCAGTTCATTAGATGATCTTTCATTATTAGATCTTTCCTGAGAGGCAGAGATAGAAAAAGGAGCTTGGAGCCAGGAAGGAAGGGGAAGCTGTAGGGGAGAGAGATTTTACAGTTTTACCTCGTGCAAGTTTACTTGTCAGGGTTGATGTTTAGGAGATTCTGCACTTCCTCCAATCCCATCTTTTACTTACATGATAGTTTAATTTAAAAAAATATTTTATTTATTCATGAGAGATACACAGAGAGAGGCAGAGACACAGGCAGAGGGAGAAGCAGACTCCGTACAGGGAGCCTGATGCGGGACTCAATCCCGGGATCATGACCTGAGTCAAAGGCAGACGCTCAACCACTGAATCACCCAGGTGCCCCTTAATCTTTCAATAAGAAAAAAAAGTAATTTTTTATAAACATGTATCTCGGTAGGAAGAAAAGCAATATTCAGGGTAAAAAAAGTAAGAATCTAAAATAATAAAGACAGAGCTGGGCCAGTAATAGATAATGAACAATACCTTTTAATAGTATATGATGAAAGTAAAATAAATCATATTCAATTATACTGAACTTTTAACGCATTATAACAAAATTAAATGTCCAGAAATTTTTTTGTATATTTAAAAAAGTCTATAAAAACACAAACCTATATCTGAGGAGAGCCTTGTTAAAAAATAATGGAGATATTTGGAATAAAAGGACTTGTTAATGTAATCACTATTTAGTACTTCTTCAGTTTTTCCCAACTGCTGATGTGGTAAAAAGCAGACCTCTGCTGCTGCTGCTGCTGCTTCTGCTTTTTTTTTTTTTTTAAAGATTTTATTTATTTGAGAGAGAGAGAGAGCGAGCAAGCGAGCATGATCAGGGTGGGGTGCAGGGCATTGAGAGAAGCAGACTCCCCAATGAGCTGGGAGCCTGATGCCAGGACTCTGGGATCATGACCTGAGCCAAAGGCAGATGCTTAGCCAACTAAGCCACCCAGGTGCTCCCTGCTGCTTCTTTTTTAAAAAGTAATCTTTATTTCCAACATTGGGCTTGAACTCATGACTCCAAGATAGAGTTGTGTGTTCCACCAAGTGTTCCAGTTAGGTGTCCCAGACCTTATTAATAGATGCTTCCTTCTGTGAATTTTAACACAATGAAACATAAATAAAATAAGTATGGTACTTGCCCCTCCCTGTTGGTGGTATTAGTTAGAAAATACAAATCTGCAGATCCCTGGGTGGCTCAGTGGTTTAGCATCTGCCTTTGGCCCAGGGCATGATCCTGGAGTCCCAGGATAGAGTCCCACATCAGGCTCCCGGCATGGGCCTGCTTCTCCCTCCTCCTGTGTCTCTGCCTCTCTCTCTCTCTATGTCTATCATAAATAAATAAATCTTAAAAAAAAAGAAAAAAGAAAAAAATCTGCCTGGAAGGAAAGGGACTCTGGCATGAATATGAGTGAAGAGAAAGGATTCTTTCCAACTCTTACACGTCTGTGGGGATCAATACCACATTCCAAACTCTGTTCATGGCTGTGAGACAAGCTAGTACATGAGATCAATCCCAGGATTCAAACAATATTCCTCAAGCACAATCACCACCTTTTGTTCTAAGTCCACTACTCTACAGTGTTTGGTGCACATTCTATCCTATTAAATAAATTAGGTATGCTAACTTTGTTTTTATTATTTGAGGTTGAATATTACTTTATAACATCTTTTTGGTTACATGAATTTGGGGTATGAGTTCAGCAACTGAGATTAATGGTAGAGTAGATCTGCATTTATTGACAGGAGAGGGACAGAGCAGATTAGAAAAGGGTAGAGCAGAACAGCCAAGAATGTGGACTTTGCAGCCAGACTCTTGAGTTTGAATCCTGGCATTTACTATTTATGTGACTGTGTGCAAGTCACTTCCATATTCTGTCCCTCATAAACAGAGAATCATACATGGAGTGGTTGAGGATTGAAAGAGTTAATCATATAATGTACTTAGAGCCTGGCCCATTGTAAACACTCTAAGTGTTAGTCATTTTCACTGGATAATCCACAAAATGGACAGTTCAAAAGTGGAGAGTGAAGGTGATTTAATGCAGTGAGACCAAGAAGGGGGCAGCAAAAGATAACGTGTAACTCAAATGTGCTCAGTGCACTGAAGTTTAACATCCAGCAGCCATCCTCAAGGTGTCTTCTTGGCTCTGCTCAAAGGTGAAGATTTAATTCAGCAGACAGGTGGGGTCTGCTATTAGCTCAAAACTCCTGTCTGCTAGTCTCAACTATGAAGACCTCTCTTGGGCAGGGACTCTCTTGCAGTCACACTCTGCATGCTGTTGGCAACCCCTGAAACAAACCCAATTTACCATTAATCGCAAAGAAAGTTGTAAAGATGTCTTGGCAGAGGGCTGGGGGTGAAAGGTGAAAATCTGGGGTACAGGGTGGTAAGGATTCATGTTGCCCACTTTACAACAAAAACTTAATGCAATTCACCATTGGATGTGTCTTTTTCACATGCCAGTTGACTCATTGCCTCTCTTTTCTCATACCATCTCCCAGAGGCCTCTCCATCGCCCTAGACAACTCAGCTGTGGCTCTCTACTTAACCAGACAAAAGCCTGGGAAATAGACCAATAGGGACCATTTCTAATTAATCTGGTATGCCTCTTGGGGGTTCCCACCCTTCTATATGCAGCTTATCAAAGTATTCACCCAACACAAACTAATCTCTTTCTTGGGAAACTTCTACTTGAAAACTTTCTCCATCTATGCTTAAAGCAGACGGTGGGTGCTCAAGAAACAATGGTTCCCATCCAAAAGCCAACTGAGGATCTGACAGTAGTTATAGGAGAGGGAATCAGGAAAATGAAAAGGGGAAGTACAGAGTGGAAATCTTACATAACTGCGGTAGATTTAGAATTTACCACTTCAGAAATTTTTTCCTGCTTGAAGGTTTTTAAGGGAAAGAGAAAGGAGAAGAAAAAAACCACAGGGATTTTATAAAAATACACCAATAATATCAAACTATAAGAATTGGTTGTTATTCTTCAGATTGTTGATAAGTAGAGTGGGCTTTGATAAGAGACCCAACAATACTAACATTGCAATATTAACATTTATTTAGAATCTCGTTTGAAGCTATGCTAGATCTGTTTATCAAGACCAGAACTTTATAGAAGTTCTGGCATGCCTCAAAAACTCAGCAGAATTTCACTATTTTCACAAATTTAAGCTAAGAGCTAGCTTCCCTTATATATCCTAATTCCTTAAAGATTTTGACAGCAAAAAATATGTTCTGAGGTAATTAAATGGGTGGAGGTAGCTTCAGGCTAGCATTGCTTTAAGTCTGAAAATAAAAAGGGGGGACTATTACTTTTGTGGTTTCTGAAAGAATTAATTTTTACCCGAGGTTACTTGCCTTGCATTTCTAAGTAGGAAGACAGCCCATGAGCTTCCTCAACCTGCAATGGACTGCCTGGGATCTGGCTCAGCCCCCACCTTCTGCACTCGGAAGAGAGCCTGAGAGGCGATGATGCACAGAGAGGGCTCAGGATCATGCAGCAGAGCTTTCAGATCTAAGTGGCCACAAAACCCAGGTTGGAGGTGAAGATCTATGGAAATGATCTCTGGTCCACATACCAAACAGCCAATAAGTCTATAGCAGCTGAGATGAAGGACTTTTTCTAAGACTCTGTCTGAAAGTTATACATTTGTAAACCAATTCCAATTTTGACCTAAAAAATTTATTCATTTTTGAATTGCCAAATAGTATACTCCTTTACAATAACCACACTGTCAAGCAGTCCACCTAAAGTTAAATTATCTGTACCTGTCGAGCCATGTCTAAGACTGCTAATTTCTAAGTTCCTGTGTTGGTCCTAGAGGCTACTCTTAAATTATTCTTTTTAAGTTTTTTCTTAAAAATTTGTTAGTTTTTCAAATTGAACACCAATAAAAAAATAAATTTATTATTTAAAAAATTTGTTAGTTTTTGTATCTTCTTGCAAAATAAATACGTTCATTGTGTAGAAAATTTAGATAACATGTAAGCATTAGAAGAAAATCAGTTACTTATAATTGGACCAACAGAGAAAACCTCTGTTATGTTTGTTTCTTTTTTCTATTCAGTTACTCCTGTGCCTTTTTGTTCAAATGAAACTAAATTATACATATTATATAACAATTGCTTGTTTTATTTAATATTGCATCATCTCTTATCCAAGCCATTAACATTTTTTTCTGTAATATTTTTCATAACTTTGGGGCAGTTGGCTGGCCCAGTTAGTAGAGTGCATAACTCTTCATCTCAGGATTGTGAGTTCAAGCCCCACATTGGGCATAGTCAAAACAATAATGAGATACCAGTATGACTTTTTCTGTCAAAATGGCAAACTACTAATTAATAAATTAATATTCAAACATAGATATGTGAAGGGAAAGATGACTTTTTTATTTATTATTAAACAATAAAAGTCTTTTTGTTTTTTAGTAATCTCTATACCCAATATGGGGCTTGAATTCATGACCCTGGGATCAAGAGTTGCTCTTGAAGAGTTGCTCTTCTGACTGAGCCAGCCAGGCACCTGAAAATTGACATTATCATACACTGTGCTGGTATGAGCATAGATTGATATCCCTCTTTTTTTTTTTTAAGATTTATTTATTCATTCAGAGAGAGCGAAGAGAGAGGCAGAGACACAGGCAGAGGGAGAAGCAGGCTCCATGCAGGAAGCCCCATGTGGGACTCCATCCCGGGTCTCCAGGATCACACCCTGGGCTGCAGGCGGCGCTAAACCGCTGCGCCACGGGGGCTGCCCCATATCCCTTTTTTATAGGGAAGTTTGGCAACGTGTATCAAACCCTTTAAGTAAATATATACTTTGACTTATCAATCTCACTGCTAGGAATTTAACCTATGAAAATAAGGAGAAATAGGTACAGGAATGTTCATTCCAGTGTTACTTAAAAATAACAAAAATGGGGGCACCTGGGTAGCTCAGTGGTTTGTGGTGTGATCTGGGGTCCTGGGATCGAGTACCACATGAGGGTCTTGGGATGGAGTCCCACATCAGGCTCCCTGCAGGGAGCCTGCTTCTCCCTATGCCTATGTCTCTGCCTCTCTGTGTGTGTCTCTCATGAAGAAATAAATAAATAAATCTTTAAAAAATAATGGAAAACATCCAAGATTAGAAATACTAAGAAATTAGTTTAATAAAGTATAGCATATCCATGTTATAGGATCATATGATTGAAAAACAATTTTTATTAAGTATAATTTGATATTTGTATATACTGCAGAATGATCACCACTACAACAAATCTAGTTAATACCTCTTATAATTTTTTTACACAAATAATTTTTTCTTTTTTTCTTTTTATTTTAAAAAATTATTTATTTATTTATTCATGAGAGACACACAGAGAGAGGCAGAGACATAGGCAGAGGGAGAAGTGGGCTCCCCTACAGGGAGCCTGATGCAGGACTCGATCCCGGGACCCCAGGATCATGACCTGAGCCAAAGGCAGACGCTCAATCACTGAGCCACCCAGGTCTCTCTCTCTCTTTTTTTAATTTAATTAATATTTTAAGTGAACTCTACCCCTGATGAGGTACTCAAACTTATGACCTTGAGACCAGGAGTTGCATGCTGTACTGATTGAGCTAGCTAGGCGTCTCTTGCATAATCTTTTTTTTCTTTAAGATTTCTTTTTTTTTTAATTTTTATTTATTTATTTATGATAGTCATACAGTGAGAGAGAGAGAGAGAGGCAGAGACACAGGCAGAGGGAGAAGCAGGCTCCATGCACCGGGAGCCCGACGTGGGACTCGATCCCGGGTCTCCAGGATCGCGCCCTGGGCCAAAGGCAGGCGCCAAACCGCTGCGCCACCCAGGGATCCCAAGATTTCTTTTTTTTTAAGACTTTATTTATTCATGAGAGACAGAGAGAGAGAGAGAGAGAGAGAGAGAGAGAGAGAGAGAAGCAGAGACACAGGCAGAGAGAGAAGCAGGCTCCATGCAGGGAGGCCGATGTGGGACTCGATCCCGGGACTCCAGGATCATGCCCTGGGCTGAAGGCAGGCACGCTCAACTGCTGAGCCATGTAGGCGCCCCAAAGATTTCATTTAAAAAAAAAAGGTTTTATTTATTTATTCATGACAGACACACACACACAGAGGCAGACACACAGGCAGAGGGAGAAGCAGGCTCCATGCAGGGAGCCTGATGTGGGACTTGATCCCCCGTCTCTGGGATCACACCTGGGGCCGAAGGTGGCGCTAAACCTCTGGGCCACTGGGGCTGCCCAAAGATTTCTTTTCTTTTCTTTTTTTTTTTTTTAATTCATAGAGACACACAGAGAGAGAGGCAGAGACACAGGCAGAGGGAGAAGCAGGCTCCATGCAGGGAGCCCGACGTGGGACTCAATCCAGGGTCTCCAGGATCACGCCCTGGGCTGCAGGCGGCACTAAACTGCTGCGCCACTGGGGCTGCCCCAAAGATTTCATTTTTAAGTAATCTCTGCACCCAATGTGGGGCTCAAGCCTACAACTCCAAGCTCAAGAATTGCACACTCCAGCGACAGAGCCAGTGAGGCACCCCTCTTGTAATCTTTCTTTAAAATTTTTTTTAAAAAAATATTTATTTATTTGAGAGAGAGAGAGAGAGAGAGAGAGAGAGGGAGAGAGATAGCAAGAGAGCATGAGTGGAGGAGGGGCAGAGGGAGAAGGAGAAGTAGACTCCCACGAGCAGGGAGCCCAATGCTGGGCTCGATTGCAAGACCCCAAGATCATGACCTGAGCCAAAGGCAGATGCTTAACTGAGCCTCAGGTGCCCCTCTCATAATCTTTCTTAAATAGGTCCAGCTTCTGGCTATTTTATCAGTTACATATTTTTATTTTAAAAGCAGTGAACTGGGGCAGCCCGGGTGGCTCAGCGGTTTAGCGCCGCCTTCAGCCTAGGGTGTGATCCTGGGGACCCGGGATCGAGTTCTCTGTTGGGCTCCCTGCATGGAGCCTGCTTCTCCTAATGCCTGTGTCTCTGCCTCTCTCTGTGTGTCTCTCATAAATAAATAAATAAAATCTTTAAAATAAATAAATAAATAAAAGCAGTGAACTTTTCAGGATAAGTTTTTTTTTTTAATTTGTTTATTTGAGAGAGAGAGAGAGAGAGAGCCGCACACATGGGAGGAGCGGCAGAGAGAGAAGGGAAGCGGACTCTCCACTGAGCATGGAGCCTGCAGCAGGACTCAATCCCATAGTTATGATCCCATGAGATCACAACCATGAGGTCACAACCTGAACTGAAACCAAGTCAGTTGCTTAACCAACTGAGCCATGCAGGCACCACTTAAGGGTTTTATTTTTAAGTAATCTTTATACCCAACATGGAGCTTGAACTCACAATCTGAGATTAAGAGTCTCATGCTCTACCAACTGAGCCAGCCAGGGGCCCCCAGGATTTTAATTTGGTTCTCATAGTACATACTTTTGGGTTGTGAGGCTTGGCGTTTTACAGCATTTTCTAATTGTATGCGTACTTTTCAAGTTGGAATAAATAATTCTTTGAGTGCTAAATCCTCAAAGCTGTATAGTTATAGAAACTTTCACTCACTGACAATCCAGAAAACCATTTGCATGATGGCTACCTTATAGGACTATAAACCTCTGTACTGCCAAGTCCTGCCACTTCACAGGACAACTGCTTATAGAAAAGAGTGTTGCAGTCATCTCTGAGGTACTCGTGAGCTATCATCAGAACTTACTAAGATGGTATTTCTAGGTAAAATCAGGACTTGTTCCTGAGACACTCAGCAAAGCTGGTTTCCAAACAAATAGTGTCATGTCCTTTCCTAATAAGGGGAATTGAACTGGGAGGAGACTGTCATTCACTGTCTCCAAGGTCTTTATTACTGCAAAAGTCAGGCTCTCTGGTTCCCAAGGTCTAACCTCTGTCAGAGAGCCTGCCCCCAGTCACTGCCTCAGATCCTACCCCAAACCAAATCCAAATGTGTTATTACTTACCATTCTCTATCCAGTCAGTGCCCTTCGTCCTGAGCTCGCTGCAATCCACATACTTTAACAAGAGTCCTAAGTGCAGGATAAAGTCAGTAAGGCTGTGGTCTGGCTTTGACTCTGAGCAGTTGGTAGAACTGGCCTTTTGATGATTAGATTCTAAAAATTTGCCTTCCAAGTGCCTGATAGTTACCTATAGATAACAGCCCTTTTCTCCAAAAGAGTGTTTTCAAGGTCATCTTCATAAAGAACGGGGATACTCAACAACACAATTTGTGAAAATATAGGATAAAGTGACTGTAGAAATGAAAGGATTGTTTATACCTACAAATAAGACTGCTGCTCTTCTGATAGGAAGTTTTGCATTCTTGGAGAACATCAATGTTTGGGCTAGGAGGTTAACTTTCCCCTGGCATTTTTTTCCCTAAGTGGGGAAAAAAGTAAGAGTAGAAAGGAGTGAAGTACACCACTGTTTTTGTCAGCCTCACTTAGTTTCCAGAGCCAGGGACGATGTTAGACATCGGACGCATAGAATATGGTGCTTGAATTAATAACTGCAGTTGCTTAATGAATGTTACACCACAATAACAAGTCCTTAGACAAAGTTACGTCCTCTGGATGCACCATGTTCATACCCACTCATGCTGCAGATTGTCCCTGGTGTGCCTCTAAAGTCCATCTCCACTTCTCTGATCTAAGTTTTCTCTGTTCACTCAGCTCTGCCTTGAACTCTGCCTCCCTATCGGCTATCGGCTCTTCCCAGGTCACTCTTGACTTCCTTTTTTTTTTTTTGAGGATTTTATTTATTTATTTGACAGGGAGAGAGAACCAAAGAGCACAAGTGGGGGGAAAGGCAAGAGGGTGCAAGAGAAGCAGACTCTCTGTTGAGCAGGGAGCCCAATGTGGAGTTTGATCCCTGGGATCATGACCTGAGCCCAAGGCAGACACTTAACCAACTGAGCCACCCACGTACCCCTACTATTGCCTTCACTCTGCTCTGAGCATTTCTGCAGGTACCCCTCTCTTGGCACATACCATTTTCCACCTTGAGTTTCTATTTCATTTTCCACAGAGGTTTTATCTCCCTTACTAGCTAGCAAGCTCCTTTAGGAAGTTCTTATCTTTGGCATGTTTCTGGGTTCTCCACTGCCTGTTGCACACCGGATATATTGGGCTTACTGGATGAATAAATGTACCTTTCAGTGATTCTGTTACAAAGATAGGCTGCTCGAAGATAGGAGGAGGACAGTCGGGATCTATTCCCATAGCTCTTATGATGTTACATGGACAATCTAAAATCTTATACATTGAGAGCACTGAATTTTGCAGTAAATACTGTCATCAATGCCTCAGATAAACACTTGGGTACATGTCAGAGAGATAATTCTTAGTGGAAAGCCTGACACAGTGGTATAGTGGGGCTTCCTAGCCCTGTTAAGTTTGATCAGAGGAGCCCACATTGGGTCCTAAGCAGGTTACCCATACGTAAGATCCATGGGAATAGCCAGTCTAGGCTCTTCATAGTAGGCATTGTAAAGGCAATACACAACTCCATTTCAATTCACTTCATAAATAGTTTTTTGAGCACATTCTATCAGCCTGACTCCATAGCCTCTGACTCAGGTTAGTGGGGCTCCCAAGAATCCAAGAGAGAGTCTTTTTTTTTTTTTTTTATGAAGAAAGGTGGTAATAGAAAGTAAGTCTGTGACTCAGTTGGGAGGAAACTAGAGAAATAGGTTCCCAGTACAAGATGGTTCATGGATATTAGCTGCTGATGTCAAAAGGGATGGTAAATGTTTCCTTTATGTCGTGTTCCTCCATTAAAAACTACATCAGAAAAACTAAGCATGCAAGCATATGAGAGTTAACAAAGTCAGTATCGCTCACATACAAAGAATTTGCAGACTGTTCCAGCTTCACTAGGGCTGATGTACCAGGGATCTTTGCAGTACACTTCTTGGGGCAGCTTCCACTTCAGGAACTGGGCACATATAGTTAGGACTTGCCTGCTTTCCTATGAAAAGGATTATCAGAGATCAGCGTTTTCAAACATTTTTTAGCTGAGGTAAACTTCCTTCAAAAAGAACTGGCTAAAGTGAAGGCAGGGATAGAGAGAAACCAGAGTTCCGCCCTCCTTCAATTTCCCTAAACAATCCCCCTGAAAGGGACCCATGAAGCCTGCAGAGCTGTGGGGAGGATGTAGAAACCACTGGTCTAAGGTAAAAGTGTAACACCAGAACAGAGATTGGGGCAGGGGTTCCCACTACTCCATGCGCTAAGAGGCAGGGCTCCTCCATCTACTTGCTGCTCCCATTTCATTCTTCTGTCACTTCACACAGGGAAGTGTAGCTCCTCTTCTCATAGTCCTTGTGGAATCTCTGGCTTGGAAGGAATTCTGGACAGTACTGATCCCTTCCCAATCCAGATGCTTGAGCAAAATTTAGTAAGTGGGCTTCTCTATCCACGGCTCTCAGAATGCCTCCCATGTACCACACACCACCACTTAAGAGTATTCAATTCAAGCAAGTATCTTATCCCAGGTCCACTAGATTTGGGCCATTAAAATTCCTTTGGGAACTGATGGGAATACAAGTTAGTTCAGCTACTTTGTTTATTTGTAAATATCTAGTAAAGTTAAAGATACCCAGATAGTTTACTTCTGGGTTTATTCCCTCAAGAAACTCTCACATAGGTCCACAAAGGAATACGTAAAGAATGCTCATGCAGCACTGTAACAATGAAGAACTAGAGACAATTAAATGTTCAAGAATAGGAGCATGGGAGAAGTGTGAGGATATCTTCAAGATAGAATTCTAATTTTTTTTTAATTTATGATAGTCACACACACAGAGAGAGAGAGAGAGAGAGAGAGGCAGAGACATAGGCAGAGGGAGAAGCAGGCTCCATGCACCGGGAGCCTGACGTGGGATTCGATCCCGGGTCTCCAGGATTGCGCCCTGGGCCAAAGGCAGGTGCCAAACCGATGCGCCACCCAGGGACCCCCTCAAGATAGAATTCTATACAGCAGTTAGAATAAATGAACTGGAGCCCACAACGTGGGCAAATCTTACAATGCTAAATAAGCAAAAAAAGCTCGAGCAAGTTGCTAAGAGATTTATAAATGATACAAGATTTCTTTTTAGAAAAAAAAGATTTTTTTTCTACATATAAAGTTGTAAAACATGAACAAATATTACCGCAGAAGTGATAACAAAATTCAGGATGATAGTTGTTGGGGGAATTCAACTGAGGATAGGTACATGATTTATTCCTGTTTTATTTCTTACATGGGTGGTAGATTAGGTTCTCTCTGTTAGTGATTCCTTTTTTTTTTTTAAAGATTTTGTTTATTCATGTGAGAGAGAGAGAGAGAGAGAGAGAGAGAGAGAGGCAGAGACACAGGCAGAAGGAGAAGCAGGCTCCTCTTCTCGAGCCTGACATGGGACTCGATCCTGGGTCCAGGATCATGCCCTGGGCTGAAGGCAGTGCTAAACCGCTGAGCCACCCGGGCTGCCCGTGTTAGTGATTCCTAACCTGTTCAATGTTAGATTTCACCTCTCTGCTTAGAATACCCTCTGAAGAGCTTTGAAGACAAAGTTAGGAATCATTCAAGGTTTGAAAGAAAGTAAGTGCAGAGCCTTGGCTGCTCTATGCCTTACTTGATGATAAGGGCTGACGGGTCGAGGGGGTGAGATGGGTATCAATGCATCCAAATATCTGTGACCCCTATAGGGCATTCTTTTCCATCTCTTGGTTGGAAGCTCTACTCTATACTTTATTGGGGTCTGACATATTTCATAGTTTTGGTTACAAGACCATAATACTTCCCCTACATTAAGATACCAGGGCCAACCATAATCTTTTTTTTTTTTAAGATTTTATTTATTTATTCATGAGAGACACAGGGGGGCGGGGGCAGAGACACAGGCAGAGGGAGAAGCAGGCTCCACACAGGGAGCTGGACATGGGACTTGATCCCGCGACTCCAGGATCAGGCCCTGGGCTGAAGGTGGCGCTAAACCGCTGAGCCATCCAGGGATCCCCGCCAACCATAATCTTAAATCTTGTTATCGATCCTGCTTTCATTTCTGTAATGGGGAACTTAAGTAGGGGAAAGCTCTAGCATTTTTCCAGAATCATTGTGGTCTAAACATTCCTCTGGTTTGCTGTTAACTAGTGGTCATAACACATTGGAATGGACAGGCTCCTGAGGTATGGGACAGTTCTCAAGATGATGACATCCCATGCACAACTCTATGGCAGAAACTCCCAGAATATTAAGGAGATATAGAAGCTTCCCTAGATTGTCAGAGAAGCTATTTATGACTTAGCCCTCAATACAAGTCTATTTGTCTAAAGGCCAGAAGGCAGTTATTGAATACAAGAAGACGGATAATGAAATACCGTCACCGTCATCAACAAAAAGAGTTTCCTGCATTTGGCACTGTATTTAGGCTCTGTGCTAGGCTAAATATTGGGGTGGGGCTGCAAAAAGCTTTAATATATTGTTCTTACAAAGGGCCATAATTTGCTATACAGAAATAAGGAGTAAGATTTTTCACACAATTCACTTAGGCAAAATATTTGAAAGATAGCTTGTGCTAGAGGAAATAGTAAATAAAGATGATACCACAGGGCAGCCCTGGTGGCGCAGTGGTTTAGCGCCACCTGCAGCCCGGGGCGTTACCTTGGAGACCCCGGATCAAGTCCAACATCAGGCTCCCTGCATGGAGCCTGCTTCTCCCTCTGCCTGTGTCTCTGCCTCTCTCTCTGTCTCTATGAATAAATAAATAAAATCTTAAAAAAAAAAAGATGGTACCACAAAGTCCCTGCCTTCAAAGATATGAATGCTTATTTGCAGATTTGGCTCTGGACTAGAAGTTATGCAGGTCTGAAAGAACTTGACAAAGGCATTACCTCAGCTACTGCATCATTTTCATCCTGAGAATACAGAAGTAGTGGGACCAAGCTGTCCAGGACTTGATTCTCTACACCCTTCTTATCTGTGTATTTCACAGACTTTATGGATGCTCCAAACAGGGTCATGGAGAGACGATGAACATCAGATCTCACCTACAAAGGGAGTATCCAAAGGGAAGCATGTCACTGAAAGTGTTCATGCTGAACTTGTTGGTTGAAACATCAGTCCTAACATGAGGCTAGTTAGCTGTAGGTAGCTGAGGACAAGAAGCCAAATATATATAAATATGGCAAGACCTGGTGCTTTGTAGTACTGGTTCTTCTCTCGCTCCGCAAATGAGAAATGTAGTCAGCACAGCTTGTGCCTGATACTAGTATTAACCATTCACACAAGCTGTTTTGCTGAGATTCAGAATCCCAGCCTTGCCATACTTGACTCTTTCAAGGATATGGTTCATTGCACTCCATGTTTGTTTGTTTGTTTTTAATCTTTGGGATTTGGGATGGGGACCCAGTCCTGAGTGTTCCTTGAAAGATGTCTTTTCTTATACAAACTTCTTCCTCATCCCATGATCAGGGTGGTACATTGGCAAGTCTCTACAACTGTTTTTTATTTAGTCTGGCAAACAATAACACCAGTCCTACTAACATCACAAGTTACCTGGAAGGGTCTTCAGAGAGGAGATTTGAAAAGTGCTGTGAACATAAAAAGTACTATATAAAATAGAGTGTATTGGGCATCCCGGGTGGCTCAGTGGTTTAGTGCCGCCTTCAGCCCAGGGCGTGATCCTGGAGACCCGGGATTGAGTCCCACGTCAGGCTCCCTGCATAGAGCCTGCTTATCCCTCTGCCTATGTCTCTGCCCCTCTCTCACTCTCTCTGTGTGCGTCTCTCATGAATAAATAAAAATCTTAAAAACAAATAAAATAGTATATTTATTACTATCCCAATTTCTATTTTCTGTTATGCCAATTACCCTCCCCTAGGAAAGCTTCTCCTCTCTCATTGTCTTACATCACCAAATAGGGTGAACAGGGTCTTCATCATGGCCGTCAGGGTGGTGAAATCCATTGTCCCCACGAGTTGCAGGAGTATCTGGATGGCCAACAAAACAATCTTCTCGTCGGTTTCACATAAGAGGTCTAAGATGCATGGCAACAGGCTCCTGATGTCTTCCCTCTGTGTGCCCAAAGGGAGTGCACCATCACCCTCTTGATAGCACTTTATCTGGTACCAAAGTAGGGCTCCCCACCTTTATCCAGTACGTGGTGCTTGTTCAATGTTTGGTAGCACTGGCTAGTTAAGAACAGAGAAGAGGGCATGACTGCCCTCTCAGTATTGGCAGGACTGACCGTAGAGAAGGGGGCAGAGCTGTTTTAAGTTGCTTCATTTGGGCAGCAATGGGACCAGGTGGGGATGGTCAAGTGACAGAGATTTAGGGTCAGTGTAAAGAATTGCTTACAACAAGAGAAATATAAGATGGCTAGCTCAGGTCCTAGTGAGTTCTCTAACATGGAATGTATCCAGAGACAGTTAAGATTCCTTGCAGGAAATCAAGTAGAAATTAACTGAGGACCCTGAAGGGTCCTTCCCATTCTGAATTGGGATTCTATTCTTCTGAAACTTCCAAAAGGAAGCAATCTCAGAGTTTTAAAGTTTAAAACATACATGTAAAAAGTAAATAGAATATGGCAGCAAATATTTGTGTATCCAAACAACCAGAATTAACATGCTAACAACTGTCATCTTTGTTTCAAATATATACTTATTTATTTATTTATTTATAAGATTTATTTATTTATTCATGAGAGACAGAGAGAGAGAGAGAGAGAGAGAGAGAGAGAGGCAGAGACACAGGCAGAGGGAGAAGCGGCTCCATGTAGGGAGCCTGAGGTGAGACTCAGTCCCAGGTTTCTAGGATCACGCCCTGGGCTGAAGGTGGCACTAAACCACTGAGCCACCTGGGCTGGCCTAAATAAATAAAATCTTAAAAATAAATAAATAAATATAAAAAAAAATTGAACTCAAGTGAAAAAATTGAAGGCCTAGGGATTCATCTTTCCTTCTGACCCAGGCCTAGTTTCTAGCTAGGCTGGTAGAAAATGAACTTTACTTCAACATGAATGTCAATAATCTTTGTTTAGATGATACACATCTTAGGAGCAGATATAATGGCCTATCCAATGTACTCCTTAGGGCAACATGGTACAAGACATAAAAGGACACCTGAATGTCACCCAGGCTGTGATAGTGTGATGACAGTGAGGGTACTTCCTTATACAAACTATAGGTTTTAGGGGGATCCCTGGTGGTTCAGCGGTTTAGTGCCTGCCTTCGGTCCAGGGTGTCCTGGAGTCCCAGGATTGAGTCCCACATCAGGCTCCCTGCATGGAGCCTGCTTCTCTCTCTGCCTGTGTCTCTGCCTCTCTCTCTCTCTGTCTCTCATGAATAAATAAATAAAATCTTAAAAAAATAAAAATAATTTGTAGGTTTCAAATATTATGAATATATGTGACTTGGACTTATTTCTTGTGATTTCATGAAATACTTAAGGCAGTACTTACATATTTCCTAGGCATAAAATTTAAAAGATACAAAGGGATGTACTCCTACTTGTTCCTATTCCTAGGCTACCCAATTTCCTTCTTGGCTGTTACCAGTTGCTTGGGGATCTTTCTGGGGTATGTTTGATTTGTGACTTACAAATCAGTGGTCTGGGGGCCCCTCCTACCATATCCTGGTGTTTAATAAGATAGCGCAGTCCCCTTAGGGCAAGAAATTTGAAGACTCTATTTCCATGATGTAGCCAGTCTTTCAAGCGGACAATGGAGTATATGCTGGGCAGTCTCCTAGACACTGGACTCTGGAGAAGCTGAAAGAACCCAGAAATCAGCCAAAGAAGTTACCTTTCAACCCTTTTTCATGAGGGGAACCACCTTCCCCAAAAGTGGGGTGATGCTTATGCTATACATACATAAGGAAGCCTAAATAATGAATTATGACTAGAAGAATTTCAGTAGGCTTGAATCTGAAACTATTTCTATCCCATATCTGAAATGGATCACAGCTGGATAGGGCCCAGGAAGGCAGGTATTGCTGCTTTACAGACTTCCTCAATCTAACAAATCTTACCTCCACAAAAAATCCTGCAGATGTGAGTTTATGTTTATCATTCCCTCGGTTAAGAAGAGGGACCAACAAGTACATGACTTTGTGTGCAAGGAGGTGATTTCTTTCCAGCAATGCACTGCAAAACAGAACACCCAACAGGTCACCTCTTAGAAATGCTCCTATCCAGACTGCATTTTTCCTGGGGCTGTGGGCCCTCTGAAGATTTTGCCCAGCTTTAGGTGCATAGGATGGTATGGCAGTGGCAAGACTCTGAAAAATCTGCCTGGCATTATGGATATTTCCCTAAACTGTGATATTATCCAACTTTGGTTGCTGTTTTAACAAAAAAGGAGAAAAATACCTAACACAATGCTGATTTAGAGCAGGTGTGCATGGCAAGGTAATCTTACTTAGCAAGGAGAGATACTCCCTGAAGATGGCATTCTTTTCCTTCCAGGAGGGTCCATCCTTTATTCTTTTCCATGATGTTGAATTCCTGCCAGCACAATGTTCTGAGGAGGAGACTCTTTGTAGCTTGTATGGCGAAGCTAAATTGAATAAAACCAGAACAAGTGAATAGAACAGGTCCCTCCAACTTATCAGTACACAATTACCCTGCTCTCACTGAGGAGGGCCATGCATTGCTAGCTCTGGATGGTAATTCTCTTTTTTCTAGATTTCCCCAAAGACTCTTAATGCTCTAATAACTTGAAAGGCCCTTCACACAAATTTTTAGCATAAAGAAATCTAACTAGATTTTGTTTCCCTGGGAGTTTGAAAGCTGCAATAAAACAAATGATATGGGATGCTAAACCCATATACACTGCTTTTTTAAAACCACTTTTAAAAACACCCCCATAAAGTTTACCCATACTACTTTTTATTTTATTTTTTATTTTACTTATTTATTTTCAAAGTGAGCTCCAAACCAGCATGAGTTCAATGTGGGGATTGAACTCATAACCCTGAGATCAAGACCTGAGCTGAGATCAAGAGTCAGATGATTGGGCAGCCCTGGTGGCACAGCGGTTTAGCGCCACCTGCAGCCCAGGGCGTGGTCCTGGAGACCCTGGATCAAGTCCCACGTCAGGCTCTCTGCATGGTGCCTGCTTCTCCCTCTGCCTGTGTCTCTGCCTCCCTCTCTCTCTCTGTCTCTATGAATAAATAAATAAAGTCATTTTTTTAAAAGAGTCAGATGATTAATCAACTAAGCCATCCAGGTGCCCCCACAGTGCTTTGTAAACTATCTCACTACTGGGGTACCTGGCTGGCTCAGTAGAGCATGTAACTCTTGATCTCCAGTTCATGAGTTTGAGCTCCACAGGGGGTGGAGAGATTACTTAAAATAAACTATCCCTACTACTTACTGAACTAGTATACTGGATATAACACCAGATAATCCTAAAATTAGAAGGTTTTCGAAGAGTACCTAGTCTGGCCTGATTTACAGATAGGAAAACCAAGGCACAGAACAATGGAAGATTTGCCCAGAGTACATAGCTAGTTAAATGAATGAGAATTAGAACTCAGTTCTCCTGACTTTTAGTCAGGTGTTCTTAAATAATCCACATTACAGCATTACCTCTAAAAGAAAGTCATGCACTATTAAATTTCTATTGAGTTTATCTTGGCACCAATAAAACAATCAGACAACCAACCAGTGAGAGTCCAGAGTGATTCCTGGGCATTTCATCCTGATGTCCCATGAGGGCAGATTGTAAGCTGTCCTATGGTTGGGACCACATCTTGGCTATCCTGTGTCTACCACAGTGCCTAGAGCTTAGTGTAAGTTATGGGTAACAAAATCATAACAGGCAGTACCACAAAGGGGTGACCTCTGATGACATTTCCTGTTCTGTGTACAGGCCACTTGGAACGGCGACATCAGACATGGTGAGACCGATGCTGTGGTGTATCTGGATGAGCAGTGTCATGAGAAGCTGAGGAAAGAGTCGGAATGTAGCTGCTTGGAGCCTGTTTCCCACAAACACCTCATAAAGGGCATCTGTTGCCTGTGGTAGAAAAGGTACACCATAGAGCTGAACAGCTGCTAGCATTACTCCTTACTTTTGCTTTATGTCTCTGCTTGTGCCAGATCATGCTTTCTGGTTCTACTATTCGATGGGAAGAACAGTAGTGGTAATCAGTGCAGGGACATGAAAGTGAGGAGGAAAAGAAATAGGAATGAAGTAGTCATTTTAGGTACTAAAGAGAGAGGGGCATCTAAATTCAGATGTAGGGGCACCTGGGTGGCTCAGCTGGTTGAGTGTCTAATTCTTTTTTTTTAAGATTTATTTATTTATTTAGAGGGAGAGAGAGAACACAGCAGGGAGGGGCAGAGGGAGAGGAAGAGAGAGCGATTTTTGATGGATGAGTTTTATATATACACACATATGTATATGTATATATATGTATATATATTAAAGATTTTATTTATTTATGAGAGACACACAGAGAGAGGCAGAGACATAGGCAGAGGGAGAAGCAGGCTCCCCACAGGGAGCCCCATGTGGGATCGATCCCAGGACTCCGGGATCACGCCCTGAGCCAAAGGCAGACGCTCAACCACTGAGCCACCCAGGCATCCCAATTACTTTTAAAATTAGGCTCCATGCCCAGTGTGCAACCTAATGTGGGGCTTGAACCCACGATCCTGTGATCAAGACCTGATCTGAGATCAAGAGTTGGATGCTTGGAGTGCCTGGGTGGCATAGTCAGTTAAGAGTCCGACTCTTGGTTTCAGGCCAGGTTGTAAGATTGAGCCCTGTGTTGGGGGTCTCAGCACAGAGTCTCCTTAAGACTCTCTCTTCCTCTCCTTCTGCCCCTCCCTGCTGTGTTCACTCTCTCCCTCTAAATAAATAAAATCTTTATTTTAAAAAAATAAAAAATGAAAGTAATAATAATTGGATATGTATAACAAAATCTATATATGCATGATTAAATTTATTGTAGCACTGTTTTTATGGCCATAGTTTGAAAATTGTTAAAATGTTCACTAAGAGGAAACTTGGAAATGAAACGAATGGTTTTATACCATGTTACATATTGTCTGTTTTTAAGAAGTTAATAAAAAAATTACTATACAGCTATGAAAAGAATAACAGAGTCTTAAATTTTGATATGAAAAGTAGTTAATATATTGTTAAATTTAAAAAGCAGGTCACTAAATAATATATCTAATTTGATCCTACTAATATATACATACAATTTCATTCACTAACATGATTAAATATATGCCTTTATCTGCCCTGACTCCTAAAACTAAGATAACATTATAGGGATTTTAAAAAAGGTGTAAATCCACAAGAAAAGAGAGAATAGGAGAGGACACAATGGCAGATTAGAGATGTCAGAATAACTTTGGAAGCTAAAAAAAAACCTGTATGATAATAACTTGGGTCAGAGAAAGCTGAACCATAAACTGGTAGGGAAGAAAATAAAGTAAAAAGTATATATTGATAGTGGGGGAGGCTGTGCCCGTGTAGAAAGTATACAGAAACTTTGTACTTTCTGTTCAGTTTTAGTGTAAATCTAAAACTACTCTAAAAAATAAAATCTAGGGATCCCTGGGTGGCGCAGCGGTTTGGCGCCTGCCTTTGGCCCAGGGCGCGATCCCGGAGACCGGGATCGAGTCCCACGTGGGGCTCCCGGTGCATGGAGCCTGCTTCTCTCTCTGCCTGTGTCTCTGCCTCTCTCTCTCTCTCTCTGTGTGTGTGACTATCATAAATAAATAAAAATTTAAAAAAAAATTTAAAAAAATAAATAAAATCTAGGGGTGCCTGGGTGGCACATTTGTTTAAGTGCCTTCGGCTCAGGTCATGATCTCAGGGTCCTGGGATCATGCCTCAGGTCAGGCTCCCTGCTCAGGGGGGTGTCTGTTTCTCCCTCTGCCCTACCCCCTGCTCGCTTTCTCTCTTAAAAAAAAAAAAAAAAAAAAAAAAGGCTACTTAAAAGGAAAAAAATGGGAGGAAAAAGTATACCAAATAAATACATATACAAAATATTTATATATGTATAAACACTTCTAGAAAGTTCATTTTTAGGGAGATGATATAGCTAGGCTAGGCTAAGAATGGTCTTTAGATTTTTTTAAAAAGTCTTGTTTTTTTTTAAGATTATATTTATTTGCAGAGAGAGAGCGCATGCGAGAGAGTGAGTGCATGCACGAGCAGGGGGAAGAGGCAGAGGCAGGGAGCCTGCTTCGGGGTTCCATCTCATGACCCCTGAGATCATGACCTGAGCTGACAGTAGACCCTCAACTGACTGAGCCACCCAGGCACTCCTAAAAGACTGTTTTTTGTTTTTTTTTTTAAACCAAAGAACATGTTATGGAGACTATCATGTGGCCCGAAAACCTAAAATATTTATAGAAAAAGTTTGCCAATCTTGGCTCAAGGAGGACCTTTTCTTTTTTATGTCTTATTCTTCTGTATTATGTGACTTCTTTTTTCCCCTGCAGGGAGCCTGATTCAGGACTCAATCCCAGGACCTTGAGATCATGACCTGAGCTGAAGGCAGATGCTTAACCGCTGAGCCACCCAGGTGTCCCTACTTTTACTTTATTTTAAGTAGGTTCCATGCCTGAAGTGGAGACCAATGTGGGGCTTGAATTCACAACTCTGAGGTAAGACCTGAGCTGAGATCAAGAGTTGGACAGTAAATCGACTGAGTCACTTGGGCACCCCAGATGATACATATTTTTTAAAGGATAAGGGAACATTTAACCACATCGATTAAACCAAACTCATTAAATCATAGTGATTCCTTCACTCTCCCAAGCCACTCCATGTCAGTCCCTTGGTAGAGACATTATGGATTTATAAATGGGTGAAAGAAGCAAACTTTGAGAGGGATAAAAAAGAGACACTCTCTAGAAGGGGTGTTGGATGAGTCACACCAAGAAAAGGAGCATATTGTGCTGAAGTTGGAGGGACAAAGCTCAATGGCTTACAGCAACAGCCACATAGGCCATCTTCTCATGGGTGGGCTCATTATGGCATTTCTGCAGCTTCCTCAGGAGTCTCCACAGAATCCAGGTGGTGCTGGGCAGTTCCACTTCCAGAGTTCTCCACAACTCAGCCAGATGCCTAGAAATCCCAAAGAACAGAAGGGTCCAGGAGAATGGCTTATCCTAAGCTCACACCAACCACAACCTTTCTAGAATCTGCAACCCAATCTGTAAGTGGTTTTCCTCTCTGTTCAGTTCTTCAGGGTATCAAAAGACTTACTATCTAATTTCATTACAATTACTCTCAGGGTTTTATAATCTCAAGTTCTTTTTTTTTTTTTTTTTTTTTTTTTTTACTTATGATAGTCACAGAGAGAGAGAGAGAGGCAGAGACACAGGCGGAGGGAGAAGCAGGCTCCATGCACTGGGAGCCCGACGTGGGATTCGATCCCGGGTCTCCAGGATCGCGCCCTGGACCAAAGGCAGGCGCCAAACCGCTGCGCCACCCAGGGATCCCTATAATCTCAAGTTCTATGCTTCATCGTGGACTTCAGGAAAAATTAGTCCTAATTTACCTTTTTAGTCTCACAACTTCCCTGTCACATGCCTGTGCTCTGGCTACCCGAGACCATTTGCCTTTACCAAACTAAAAGTGTACTTTTTTTAAAAAAAGAAGGTTTTATTTATCTGAGAGAGGGGTGGGGCATAAGCAGGAGGAGCTACAGGTAAAGGGAGAAGCAAACTCCCTGCTGGGTAGGGAGCCAGATGTGGGACTCAATCCCAGGACCCCGGGATCATGACCTGAGCCAAAGGCAGATATTTAATCGACTGAGCCACCCAGGCACCCCTAACAATGGACTCTGACAGCTCTATACCTTTCCTTATTTCCTGAACCTGGAAGGCCCTTTCCAACTGTCCTCTCCCGTGCCCATCAACACTCTTCCAGGTCTGGCTCCAATGTTATCTCTTCTGTGAAGCTTTTGCTGCTGCTTTACCATGTCTCTCATGAGAGTTCTCATAACACTTTCTTTTTTTTTTTTTTAATTTTTTTAAATTTTTTATTTATTTATGATAGTCACAGAGAGAGAGAGAGGCAGAGACACAGGCAGAGGGAGAAGCAGGCTCCATGCACCAGAAGCCCGACGTGGGATTTGATCCCGGGTCTCCAGGATCGCGCCCTGGGCCAAAGGCAGGCGCCAAACCGCTGCGCCACCCAGGGATCCCCTCATAACACTTTCAAAGTTTCTTTTTTTATTATATTTTTTCAGAATTTTCCTGGATAGAGGTTGCCTCAATCTTAAATGTACTACTTTCAGTTCTCTGTATGTGTCTATCTGATGGGTGGCTTTTCTTCCATGAATCCCTCAAGGTCTAGCACAATGCCAGGCTCACAGAAGGCATTCAGAGACAGATTTATTCAATCCAGTCTACGGTCCTCAAATTTTGGACAAGTCCAAGCCCAGAAATAAAGCTTTGATTCTCCTTAGAAGAGATCTCTTCTTGAAGAAAGACAGTGTGTAATAACTTTTCTTCTATCATTGACTCAAAGGTAGGGCCTGAGTGTTATATAAACCCTGTAGAGGAGTACTATGGGGGGAAGAATGGGAGTTACTCATGGTTTTAATCCATTTTCTTATTTTCAGGATCTACCTAGGTATCTTTACTAGAGCAAGTGTGGTCTTCCAACTGTCTATATCAGAATCACTCTAAAAAATGAGAAGCTTAAGGACTATTCCAACATTTCACTCTCAACTCTAATAATTCTAATCTGTGAATAAAACAAAGTAAGGTCTTCAAGGACTCCTAAAGGGAAGGTCAGAAACATAATGTGAAATGCTGAAAAGACTCATAGCTGCGGAAGTGGATTATAGAAAATTATTTCTGGAAAGAACACAGTTGTAATTGTGCTGGGAATGCATTTGAATTAGGAAAACATACACGTTAGCCTATAAGCCAATGGTTTAGAAAACTTTTTTTTTTAAAGATTTTACTTATTTATTCATGAGAGAGAGAAAGAGAGGCAGAGACAAAGGCAGAGGGAGAAGCAGGCTCTATGCAGGGAGCCCGATGTGGGACTCAATCCTGGGACTACAGGATTACACCCTGAGCTGAAGGGCAGTGCTTAACCACTGAGCCACCCAGGCATCCCTGGCTTAAAAAATTTAGTGTGAAAAAAATCATGTGGAGAGTTTTTTAAAAATATGGAACAGGTTCTACCTCCAGTGATACTGATTCTGTAGGTGTGACATGGTTTTTGTTTGTCCATTATCCCTTTGGGAATGGGTATTCATCAACCTGTTTCATATCTTCCTTGTGTTTTGTTTTACTATTACTTTTGTCTAGAATGCCCTTTTCACCGTCTCATCTTCTACTTGGCTAACTGACACTAAATACCCAGCTTGGGACAGCCCTTCTTTTAGAAATCCTTCCCCAATCTTTCATCTAATTAAGTCACCTTCTACGAGCTTCCATACAACTCTCTTATTTTGCTTTGGAATCTTATTATATACCTGTATCTGCTCCCAGAATGTGTGCTGCTCCAGGGGAGGGTCCATGTCCTGTCCCTTATTTCCCCAGGCAAACAGCACCTTGCAAATGGCAGATGCTTTGAGAGACTCCTAAGAACAATCACCCCAATTGGCGTGTAAACCAACTAACAGACTTCAGGTAAATGACCAAAAATATAATAAAAATGAAGTCTCCTGACTATGCTATTTCCATTTCTAGGAGATTCCACAATTCTCATATGATCTAAAGCAGTAGGCTCTCAAAGTCATCCAAGAGTTAGAATACAAACAATAAATAATGCTAAAGTTATACTTTAAAATAACTGAGTATATTTCTGAGTATATTTAATATTTTGTACTAAATCATATATTTCATATAAGGATCTAGTATAGATAAGCTGAAGCAAGTAGTAAAGATCAACAGTAACATATTAGAGAAACATAAAAAAGAATATTTTATTTTATTGTAATTAACTTATTTTAAATATTTTATTTTTAGGTAATCTCTACACCCAATGTGGAGCTTGAACTTACAACCCTGAGATCAAGAGTTGCATACTCTACCGACTGAGTCAGTAAGATGCCCAAAAGAATATTTAAAAAGAAAAAAAGATATATATATATACAGATATATACATGTATGTATATATATATATATACATACATATATATATATATGTATGTATATATATATATATATACACACATATATCTGTATATATAAACTCATTTTTTTCTTTGGATGAGTAAAAATCTTCCTTTATTTGATTTAGTGGTAGAGCATCTAAATTCAACTTAAACCAATCAAAATCAGCAAAAATAAAATAAAATAAAATAAAATTTCAGCACTACACCAAGACACTGTGAGAACCATTCATTGAAAGCAGTTTTCAAACAGTTTAAGGCTAAGATACAATAACTACCCAGAATCACAACATATAAAGCAGACAAAAAGAAATGCCACTCTGGAGCATCTGGTTGGCTCAGTTGCAACTCAATCTTGGGATCATGAGTTTGAGCTCCATGTTGGGAGTACAGCTTACATTAAAAAAAGAAAAAAAGAAAGATGTCAATCTGACTGAAGGGAGTAGAGGCCTAGAACCTTCTCCTAGTGCCTCACTGCCTTCCTCAGAAGAGATTTCCTGGAACTTCCAGGGTGCCTCCAACTCTAAAAGCCACAAATCTAAAAAAAGCATGGTGGATGAGCCACCCAGACAACCCTACATTTTCTTAAAATTTTCTTTTATACCTTTTATTTTCATCCAGAATCCAATCAGGTTCACATATTGCATTTGGTTAAATCTCTTCAGTGTCTTTTTACTTAGAATAATGTGCCAGCACATTTTTTCTTTCATGACGTTAGCTTTTTTGAAGAGTTCAGTCCAACTGACTTATAAAATGTTCTTTATTCTGGATTTGTTGGATTGTTTCCTTATGTTTATGCATTATATTCTGACTTATATTGCAAGTATCTGACTATATCTTATCTCTTCTACAAGAATATCATTAGATTTTTGAGAACGATCATGTTCCACAATATGGGGGGCTGTGTCACATACCCCAGTTTAATTCAGAGGCTGTACCAGGTTCTGTTACCTGTCATATGGTACTGGATGACACAGAAGGTGGCCAATCACTATATCTGTGTACTTAGGCCTGGAGATAAACAGACTCACAGTATTTATGATTTGTCGTCGGACTCTAGGCTGGCTGATTATGGATAGGCGGGCACAGATAACTCTCATAATTTCTGGCACCTGAAGAAGGAAAACAAATCATTAAGACCTTAATCCTGTGGGACAAAGATGGTTACTGAGGATACCGTGGCTATTTCTGAAAGGTCCTGGGGACGACAAGAATGCTTAGTATTTAGAAAAAGTTTATCATAACTATTTAAGGGGCACCTGGGTTGGTTGAGTGTCCCGCTCTTGGTTTTGGCTTGGGTCATGATCTCATGGGTAGTGAGATCAAGCCCCACATTGGGCTTCATGTTCATCATGGAGTCTGCTTCAGATTCTCTCTCCCAGGGACACCTGGGTGGCTCAAGGGTTGAGTATCTACCTTTGGCTCAGGTTGCGATCCCGGGGTCCTGGGATCGAGTCCCATATTGGACTCCCTGCGGGGAACCTGCTTCTTCCTCTGCCTGTGTCTCTGTGTTTCTCTGTCTGTCATGAATAAATAAATAAAATCTTTAAAAACAAAAAAGACTCTCTCCCTTTCCTCCTCCCTCCAGTCTCTTTTTCTCTCAAACAAAAAAAACCTACTTAAAATATATCGGAGTGTTATGTAGGTGTATATAAAATTATTCAGAAGAACTTAATACAAAGATATTAATGTGAACTTGAATTATAGAATATTAATTTTTCCTTACATATTTAAAAAATTTCTCCTGAAAGGGGAACCCTATTGTGCTGTTGGTAGGAATGCCAGCTGGTACAGCCACTCTGGAAAACAGTGTGGAGGTTTCTCAAAAACTTGAAAATAGAGCTACCCTATGACCCAGCAATTGCATTACTGGGTATTTACCTCACAGATACAGATGTAGGGAAACAACAGGACACCTGCATCCCAATGTTCATAGCAGCAATGTCCATAATAGCCAAACTGTGGAAGGATCCATGATGCCCTTCAACAGATGAATGCATAAAGAAGATGTGGTGTGTGTACACGTACACACACACACACACACTGGAATATTACTCAGCCTTCAAAAAATGATAAATACCTACCATTTACATCAATGTGGATGGAACTGGAGAGTATTATGCTGAGTGAAATAAGTCAGTCGGAGAAAGACAATTATCTTATGGTTTCACTCATATGTGGAATATAAGAAATAATGAAAGGGACCATAAGGGAAGGAGGGGAACTGAGTGACAAAAAATTAGAGGAAGATAAACCAACCATAAGAGACTCCTAACTCTGGGAAACAAAGGGTTGCAGAAGGGGAAGTGGGTAGAGGGATGGGGTAAGTGGGTGATGGGCATTAAGGAGCACACATGATGAGATGAGCATTGGGTGTCATACTATATGTTGGCAAATTGAATTTAAATAAAATAAGGTAAAACTTCTCGATGACTATGTATTGATTTTATTTAAAGATTTTATTTGAGAGAGAGCAAGAGACAGATCAGAGGGGAGGGATAAAACTTCTCAATGGCTATGTATTGATTGTATTTAAAGATTTTATTTGAGAGAGAGCAAGAGACAGATCAGAGGGGAGGGACAAAGGCAGAGGCAGAAGGAGAAGCAGACTCCCTGCTAGGCAGGGAGCCCAATGCTGGGGCTTGATCCCAGGACCTCAGGATCATATGATCTGAGCCAAAGTCAGACGCTTAACCAACTGAGCCACTCAGGTGCTCCTATGTATTGATTTTATAATAACCAAACTAGTAAAAGTGTTACAAAGAAGTTGGGATTTTGTTCTACTCTGACTCTGAGAATGCTAGAGTTCATACTTGCCTTCCACCCAAAGTTTCCTTTGCCTTCCATACTCAGGTAAAGGAAACAGGGACCATTGGGCTTTGGTCCATTTTTCTGCTTGGCCCATTAAGCCCACTCATAGACTCAGGGCTTTAAGTCTCTGTGGAAATGTCATCTTCTCAGAGAGGCAGTCCTCAACACCGTTGTAATAAAATGGTCATTATGCCCAGTTGCCAGAAGCTGGCTTAAGCTGGCATGTGATGTAATTTTAGCATTATGAAACACGGGGGTAAAATGTACTGGAGGCTTTTGGGAAACACTTTCCCCCCGATTCAAGGGACAAAAAGGAAGGCAACATTTCTTCTTTGCCGGATATAATCTTATTTGCTCATCAAGTCTGTGACTGCTGTGAGCACCTTATGACTACATGAACAGGCACAGTGGCAGATGGAAAAGCCCCTGGCTCTTTTATAACACTGTGGAGTTGCTGAACCAACCCTAGAAAATATGTTGCTTCCAGACTTCTTAAACTAGAAGAGAAACTCTTAATTTATAAAGATTTATTTATTTGAGATGGAGAGGGTGGCGCATCTGCAGAGGTGGGAAAGGAACAGAGGGAGAGGGAGAGAATCTCAAGTAGACTTCATGCTGAGCACAGAGCCTGATGTGGGGCTCAATCTCATGACCCTGAGATCACGACCTGAGCTGAAACTAAGAGTCTGATGCTTAACCTACTTGCACCACTGAGGCACCCCAAAGATAGCACTTTAAACTTAAATTATGCATAAGCTTCTCAGAGTAGTGTTTTGTTGTTGTTGTTGTTTTTTTTTTGTTTTTTTTTTGTTTGTTTTTTTTAGAGTGGTGGTTTTTACAGCTGAAAGCATCCAACTGATAGAAGGGCCCATCTCACTATGTTCTCATCACATTGTTTTTTTTTTTTTCCATCTTTGTTATTTTAGTAAGTTACAGGTGGGTTTTCATCATTTTAAAATTAAATTTTGAGATGCCTGCATAGCTCAGCGGTTGAGCACCTGACTTCAGCCCAGGGCGTGATCTTGGGGTCCCGGGATCGAGTCCCGCATTCAGCTCCCAGCATGGAGCCTGCTTCTCTCACTGCCTATGTCTCTGCCTCTCTCTGTGTGTCTCTCATGAATAAATAAATAAAATCTTTAAAATAAATAAATAAAATTAATTTTTATTTTTATCAAAGTGCAATATGTATCAATTTAAGAAGTCCAGTGGTATTCCAAGCTCTCTCCTGCCTAGTCTCCAAATATGCTCTCCAGGGACTACTATTTTCAGCCCTCTTATCTCTTTCAGTATGTCCTATAATATTTCTAGGTGATATAATTATATTGTTATTTCTTGATGTGTCAACGTTAGAAACATTTAAATAAAATCTGTTGATTTTAAGCTTACTAAGTTAAGTTGGCCTCCTTCAAAGATTGCTTATGGCTTGATTTTTTTAAAGTTTTATATCTTTAATTAACCTGGATGGGGATCTAAATTGAAGTTACCATTCTCATAAGTGCTAATTATATCTTCCTTCCAAACTATACTGTTTTGGAAAATATGGAGCACACCTTGGATTTTAAAACTATCCATCTCTAGTTGCATATTCAATGACTATTTATTTTTTTTTAATTTTTTTATTTTTTAAAGGTTTATTCATTTATTTATTTAATGATAGACATAGAGAGAGAGGCAGAGACACAGGCGGAGGGAGAAGCAGGCTCCATGTCGGGAGCCTGACGTGGGACTTGATCCCGGGACTCCAGGATCACACCCTGGGCCGAAGGCAGGCGCTAAACCACTGAGCCACCCAGGGATCCCCATCGATGACTGTTTATTACATGCTTATTGAATGGAAGTCTCACAGACTCATGGGCTCGGGGACCCTTCAGTTGTTACTCTCTGTGAACAGGAGCAGCAGAAGACACCGCAGCAGGTACAGGAGGGGAGGGGTTTTGCTGATATTTCAAACCCAGGAAACTGAGCTTTTTACCTTCTCAAATCGGGACTCTGCATTTTTCACCATTGTTATCAGCAATTCTCCTGCTGATTTCTGGGTGCAGGGATGTTTCAGATTTTCCAGGCCATCCAATGTAGTCATTACAAACTGGAAGAGCTCATTTGAATTGAGAAAAGCTTCAAAGATCTGAAATGATTCAGGGAAGATGAATTTTCAAGAGACTTAGTATGATAGAACCTTGAATAAGGAATATTATTTCAATTTTATGTTAATCAGAGAGACCTACAAATATGTACAAGGCTGTTTTTCAGTCTTCTTTACAAAAGTGAAAAGCTAGAAGCAACCCAAATGCCCACTACAGTCTTTGTGTGGCTTTTTACAGTTCTGATTTTTAGAAAGAGTTGTTTTGTTTGTTTGTTTGTTTGTTTGTTTACTGAGATCCTCAGAAAGAGTCACACTTTTATAGGAACAGAACTAAAGGAAAGGCTTCAGGGCTATACAGCTCAAAGGGTCCCAGGCATAGCTAAATTACTTTGGCTGGCGACAATATATTAAAAGAATTATGCTACCTAGAACAATTTATACATTCAATGCAATCCCTATCAAAATACCAACAACTTATTTCACAGAGCTGGAACAAATAATCCTAAAATTTATATGGAACCAGAAAAGACCCTGAATAGCCAAAGGAATACTGAAAAAGAAAACCAAAACTGGTGGCATCACAATTCTAGATGTCAAGCTTTATAAAAAAGCTGAAATCAGGGATCCCTGGGTGGCGCAGCGGTTTGGCGCCTGCCTTTGGCCCAGGGCGCGATCCTGGAGGCCCGGGATCGAATCCCACGTTGGGCTTCCGGTGCATGGAGCCTGCTTCTCCCTCTGCCTGTGTCTCTGCCTCTCTCTCTCTCTCTCTGTGACTATCATAACTAAATAAAAAAAAAAAAAAAAGAAGCTGAAATCATCAGCTGGCACAAAAACGGACATATAGATCAATTGAATAGAACAGAGAACTCAGAAATGGACCCTCAACTCTGTGGTCAGCTAATCTTCGACCGAGCAGGAAAGAATGTCCAATGGAAAAAAGACAATCTCTTCCACAAATGAGGTTGGGAAAATTGGATAACCACATGCAGAAGAATGAAACTGGACCATTTTTTCAAACCATACACAAAAATAGACTCAAAATGGATGAAAGACCTAAATGTCAGATAGGAATCTATCACAATCCTAGAGGAAGATCACAGGCAGCAACCTGTGTGACCTTGGCCAAGCAACTTCTTGCTAATCACATCTCCAAAGGCAAGGGAAACAAGGGCAAAAATGAACTACTGGGACTTTATCAAGATAAAAAGCTCCTGCACAGCAAAGGAAACAGTCGACAAAACCAAAATGCAACCTACAGAATGGGAGAAGATATTTGCAAATGACATATCAGATAAAGAGCTAGTACCCAAAATCTATAAAGAACTTATTAAACTCAAAACCCAAAGAACAAATAATCCAATCAGGAAATGGGCAGTAAACACGAGCAGACATTTCTTCAAAGAAGACACACAAACGGCCAACAGATACATGAAAAAGTGCTCCATATCACTTAGCATTAGGGAAATACAAATCAAAACCACATGGGACGGTACGCCTGGGTGGCTCAGCAGTAGGGTGTCTGCCTTTGGCTCAGGGAGTGATCCTGGGTCCCGGGATCGAGTCCTGCATCAGGCTCCCTGTGTGGAGCCTGCTTCTCCCTCTGCCTGTGTATCTGCCTCTCTCTGTGTTTCTCATGAATAGACAGATAAAATTTTTAAAAAACAACAACAACAACAAATCAAAACCACAATGAGATACCACCTCACACCAGTCAGAATGGCTAAAATTAACAAGTCAGGAAATGACAGATGTTGGTGAAGATGCAGAGAAAGGGGAACCATCTTACACTGTTGGTAGGAATGCAAGCTAGTACAGCCACTCTGTAAAACAGTATGGAGGTTTCTCAAAAACTTGAAAATAGAGCTACCGTACAACCCAGCAACTGCACTACTGGGTATTTATCCTACAGATACAAATGTAGTGATCTTATGGGGCACCTGCACCCCAATGTTTATAGCAACAATGCCAAATATAGACAAACTATGGAAAGAGTCCAGATGTCCATCAACAAATGAATGGATAAAGATGTGGTATATATCCAACAGAATACTACTCAGCCATCAAAAAAATGAAATCTTGCCATTTGCAACCATGTCAATGGAACTAGAGTGTATTATGCTAAGCAAAATGAGCCAATCAGAAAGAGACAATTATATGGTCTCACTCAAATGTGGAATTTAAGAAACAAAACAAAGGACCATAGGGGAAGAGAGGAAAAAATAAAACAAGACAAAATCAGAGAGGGAGACAAACCATAATAGACTCTTAATCATAGGAAACAAATTGAGGGTTGCTGGAGGGGAAGAGGGTGGAGGAATGGGGTAACTGGGTGATGAACATTAAGGAGGGCATGTGATATGATTAGGACTGGGTATTATATAAGCCTGATGAATCACTGACCTCTACCTCTGAAACCAATAACACATTATATTTTATTTAATTGAATTTAAATAAAAATTTAAAGAATAATAAAAATATAAGAATAAAAGCATGTTTCATTTTGCTTCTCATTGTACTCGGCAGTGTATAAAGTCTTTCACATGATTATAACAGGCATAATTTACTGGGCACTTACTATATGACAGGCACTAAGCAGAACATTTTTCATACAATATCTCATTTAACTCTTACAACCCAATTCTTACAGATGCTCTGTACAGATGAGGAAACAGATGCATAGAGAATTTAAACTGCCTGACACTTTAGACCCCTGTGGGTTTTCTTTCTTCCTCTATCCTCTAACAGAGTACTGCATACCTAGTTGAATCTTAAATAGTTGTTGCATAATGAATACATATATTAATTTAAAAGCGTATGGCCTGTTGGGTCAACTACAGCCTCTGGCAGCTCTGTTTTGGACAAGAGTTTACATTTGCAAGAGGCTGGCTAAGGTTAGCAGAGCAATCAATGGGAACAGAGCTTATCTGAAGACCAGTGATACTGGTCCCACTGCCAGGTTGACCTAAGCCATTTAACTAATAGGGCAAGGTGTCTAAGAGTCACAACCACAGTGCCTCATCTCCAAACTATGGAAAGTTTAGAGAGCAAATTCTCTGGGCAATCTTGTATGTTTAGTTTTATAAGAAATTATAAGAACTTTTCCCGAAGTAGTTTTACCATTTTACTTTGTCATGACAATATGTATGAGACTTCTGGTTATTTCCTATCCTCTCCAACATTTCAAGTTGTCTTTATAATTTTAGCCATTCTGATTACCTGGGCAATTTTGAAGGGACAACTATAGAACTGTTTAATACTGTAGAGTTCTAGGAGCTCTTGACACTTTTTCATTGCTCTTCTCAAGTTTGGGTGATTTTTCTTGTCATGAATGGTACCTGAGAAGAAAACATGAAATATTAATACTTTCTGGCTTATTTCCTTTTTCTTGATTTTGCAAGTCTGATCAATCCCCAGGTTGAAGTGAATCCTAAGAACTCATCCTTCTTATCTTTCTCACTTAGATCAAAGTGGCTGGGGGGTGAAGAGTGTGTTAATCTGAAGGCTGATTTGTTTCCCTTCTGTTGTCAGACAATATATTAAAAAGGCTGAAAGAAAAAGAAAAGAGCTTTCTGTAAGAGCAGAGCTTTTGAGTGATTTGGGAGACAACTATCCCAAACCATTCCACTACTGGTGAGGACTTTTAAGGGGTCTCCCTATGAAGCTTAGGTCCCCATAAAAAATCATACAATTATGCAGTATCTGATAATGCCGATACCAGAACTCTTTGTGTCTAGCTTTGCTGAGTATTGAGTCTGCCAATACTCCCTCATAGTGCTTTGTTTCTATGTTGCATTGTGACTCATGTTTGTTGGAGATTTATTTATGGGAAGTCCTTGAGTGCTTGGTTGAGGACACTGTCTCTCCAACTGGCAAATAAATTCTTTGGGGAAGGTACTTCATCTGTCTTGTTTACCAATGTACCCCTAGATCAGGAAGTGCTTCATAGATATTTGTTTAATGAATAATCAGTTGTATTTCCTTGGCTATATATCTTGGTAGACATTCCTCATACTCAGAGCTACCCAGAGATGTGATTATAGTTTTGGGAACCATAGAGCTTCCTTACCCTTGGGATGAAAAAGCCCAGACAGGGCAACTACTTGGTGGAGGTAGAGTAGACTGAGACTCAAGCTTGGTGGGGAGGACATAGAGCTAGATATTCTTCTAAAGCCTCTTGTACCTGGGAGGCCAATGATCCATTCTTTGATCACAATGGCCCCTTTTCTATTTTTCAAACTCCTTAAGTCTATACCTCCTGTTTCCTCTGCCCAATATGCTCTTCTTACATCTTCTCCTGGCTAATGTTTCTTATTTTTCAGTTTATCTTCAGAGAGGCCCTTTCTGAACCTCACCACTAGATGCGATTCTTTCTCATGGCCCCTGCAATTCTCCTTTAGCACTTATTTTTGTTTATAATAACAGTTTTTTATTGATTCTTTGATTGTTTGATTCTCCCACTAGACTACGTGCTATGTAAGGACTGGACCTCTTGTGTTCTGGTTACTGTCAGATCCTGAGTAAGCACTCAGAAAATATATGTGGGATAAATATGTAAGTGAAGGCCCATATGATGTCAAGAGCTTCCTCCACTTCTGGCCAAACTAATCCAGTTTGTCCACAGGACCACATGTTTAGCTCCTCCAACTCCACAGCCATGCAGATGGCTGACACTGATGGGTCTGATCCAGTGTTCTGATTCTAATGATTAAGTCAATGTTGCTTCATCTCCGCCTGTGGACTATGTACCTCTCTGTTGCTAAACTACCGTAAAAAGTTTTTCTGGAGTGTGTGGAATGAGGGCACAAAGAGGATTGGTGCTTGCACTGTGCTGGAGGATTGATTCAGGGAGTGGCTGCCTTTAGCAGCGCCTTACACTTCAGCCTCAAGGTGACATGCAGCAGGCAGTGCATGCCCTCTGCGGCCTCCTCAGCTACCTCTGTCACTGAGTCCCCACACAGCAGTGCCATCAGAGCCACGAAGTGCCCAAGCCTTTGGAATCTCAGTGGAAGCTGGTTAGGAAGAAAAAGAAAAATACCATTAGCATAACAGGTACATTTTATGCCTTAGAGTTATTGAGAAGTAATTCCACTTCTATCCCCTACTCAGGAAAGTGCAAGAGTCACATTCAGCCCTTGGATCTCTTTTTTTTAAATGAAGAAATTTATTTTTTTTAAGATTTTATTTATATATTTGAGAGAGAGAGTGAGAAAGAGCATGAGCAGGGGGGGAGAAGGAGAGCCAGATTCCCCACGGAGCAGGGTGCCCAATGTGGGACTCCATCCCAGGACCATGGGATCAGGACCTGAGCTGAAAGCAGACACTTAACTGACTGAGCCACCCAGGTGCCCCTAGCCCTTGGATCTCTTTATTTTTTATTTATTTTTTAAGAAAGGATTTTTTTAAATTTTTTTTTATTTATTTATGATAGTCACACACACACACAGAGAGAGGCAGAGACACAGGCAGAGGGAGAAGCAGGCTCCATGCACCGGAAGCCCGACGTGGGATTCGATCCCGGATCTCCAGGATCGCGCCCTGGGCAAAAGGCAGGCGCCAAACCGCTGCGCCACCCAGGGATCCCCCTTGGATCTCTTTAGGTTAAACATTTAACATGTGTAGTTACACTATGTTCATCAGATGGTATTAAATAGGACAAATCCTAACCCAAATCAGCAATCTGAAAAATGAAAAAGCTTTATATATAAAGATATTCATTCTAGTACTATTTTTAAAAACCACATGTTGGAAATAATTGCCCAATAGTAAAGAGAACTATGGTACAACCACTCTATGAATATAACCATTAGGAATCAAGTATTGTAGGAATTTATGATAAGGTGGGAAAATGTGCTGGTCTGCTAAGTGAGAAAGTTGGATGCAAAGTTGAGCTGCACCATTTAATACAATTTTAAAAACTTGTTTATTGATATTTTGCCTTATTATGAAAATATAGGTGGCAAAAACCATACCAGAAAAAGAATATATTTCAAAATAAATAGTGAAAAAAGTAAATTAACAAAGACAGCTGTGGAATGTCTTTTGTTTACTGATATAACTACTCATCTAGTCAACAAATACTGAGTGTCACTTATGTACCAGGAATTGGTTATGAGTATGACATTTATGGCTAGGGTTCTATGACTGGGGATACAAGCTGTGAACAAAAAGATAACATCCTTGTTCATGGAGGTGACATTCTACTTAGAGGAAAACAAAATAACAAAGAAGTAAAATTTATTATGTATTAAATGGTGATAAATGCTGTGGTGAAAAAAATGCACAGAAAAAAGACAGGAACTGCTGTTTTAGAGTGATGAGGGAAGACCTCACTTATGTTGAGATGAGGGATTGAGCCACATAGATATCTGGGAGACAAGCATTCCAGGCAGAGAGAATAGCAAGCGCAGAGAGAAAGGAGTGTGTTTGGTGTTTCTGAGGAACAAGTAGGTGAGGTTGGCTGGAGTTAACAAGAGCAAAAGAAATAGGAGGTAGATGAGGTAGGTGGTATAGCAACTTAGAGAATACTGTAAGGATTTTTGTTTTTTTCCTATGTGAGATGGGAAACCATTGGAGAGTTCTGAACAGAGAAGGAACACGAACTGATTCGCATTTACTGAATGCATATTTAATTGACATCTACTATGTAACATATTCTGTATTAGGTGCTGGGCATGCTCTGGTGAAAAAGACAGGCATAATCAATGGAATTTACACTGCCCGAGAAAAAAAAACAGACAATAAATCAATAAACAAACAAGATCATCTCTGATCCTAAGAAGCCCTAAGAAGAAAAGAAAGCAATGAGACAGAGTCTAAGCATAGATCTGTTTGTAAGCAAAGACCTTTTTGAGGTGGAAGCATTTGAAATAAGCACTAAAGAATGAGGAGGAGTTACTTATGTGAAGAGCTGGGGAAGGTCATTCCAAGCAGAGGAAGTAGTAAGTGCAAAGGCCATGAGGCAGGAAGAGCTTTATATAATAAGGAACATAAAGGAGGGCCAGTGCGGCTGGAGTAAGTCAGGGAGTGCAAGGAGGCAGGCAGGAACTAGATCATACAACACCCTGTATTTTAGGAATAGGTGGAAATCATTGCATCGAGAGTGACAGGAGTTTCAAGATGATAACTCTGGCTACATGCAGAGGGACTAAAGTGCACACTCATGCACAATTGTTCCCTGAAAGAATAAACAGAATTGTTAACACTGGCTATCTCTGCAAGACAACAACTCAATTAAGTTGATTTAAGAAAAGCTATGGACCTTCTGCAGAAAACTCCGGAAGACTACACTGTGCAAAATTCTGCCTACAGCTTTCCAGATGTTCAGAGACTCCAATGGCACCTGGATTTAACAGCCTTAGATTAGCAGTTCTTCCTATAGGAAGAAAACACTAAGGAAGATCTTCAGGCCCGAGACAGATTATGAGTAAGAGGGAGTCATTTGAAACTCTTCTTTAGTCTGCAGCCAAAACTAGAGGTGGAGGAATGTAGAAGGAAAACAATGTGATGACAGAATCACAAGGAAGTCAGTGAGGGCTAGCAGTGACTCATTTTCATTGACTAAAGAGAGAAAAGAGGAAGTAGAACAGTTTGAGGGACCAAACTTCCTTCAGTAAGGAGGTGGAAAATTGGGATGTATTTCCAACATGAGAAATAAGAAAGTTAGTGGGATGCCATCCTTTTAATAAGCATGCCTGTTAGAATATTTATATCAAGGGCAAATTCTCTAAGGAAAATTAGCATTAGGACCTAGTATTCCTACCCCACCAACTTCTCTTCCAATTCCTGGGCCTTCTTTAAAGATCTTATTTATTTGACAGAAAGAAAGAGAATGCAAGTAAGGGGAACAGCAGGCAGAGGGAGAGGGAGAAGCAGACTCCCCACTGAACAGGGAGCCTGATGTGGGGCTCAATCCCAGGAGCCTGAGATCATGACCTGAGCCGAAGGCAGGTGCTTAACTGACTGAACCCCCCAGGTGCCCCTTCCTGGGCCTTCTTACACACTTGGAGAAATGATGGCTGGAGAACAGGAGAGGCTCTAGTGCCCAGAAGACCCACTAGGAGAGAGGAAAGATTCACAGATGAAGAAAGGAATGGGGGCAGTCCTGGTGGCTCAGCGGTTTAGTGCTGCCTTCAGCTCAGGGTGTGATCCTGGGGACCCAGGATCAAGTCCCATGTCAGGATCCCTGCATGGAGCCTGCTTCTCCCTCTGCCTGTGTCTCTGCCTCTCTCTCTCTCTCTTTCTCATGAATAAATAAATAAAATCATTAAAAAGAAAGAAAGAAAGAAAGGAAGGAAGGAAGGAAGGAAGGAAGGAAGGAAGGAAGGAAGGAGTGGATCCAGGAAGGAGGATCTTAGTTTTGAGGAACTCTTTTCAGGAGGTATGGGAAGTATTCTGAAGAACTGAGAAGTGAGAGAGGAAAGAGACAAATGAGAGGATTTAAAAGGAAGAGCCTCAGAACCTTTCTCTGTGAGATGCTGGGAGGTCTTTAAATTGAATTCCTTCCATTTGCTGCTGGACTTTATTACTTCAAATACAAAACTGCACAGAGTCTAGGCCACTGTGGACCCTCAGACATTTTTAGGTCACATTTATTTATTCATTCATTCATTCAAGGATATTTACTATATTGTTATGATCCAGCTCTTGTGTTAAGCAACAGGGATGCAAGACTAATAAACGTAGTACCTGACCCCAAACTGCTCAAATTTTAGAGGGGCAGATATGTGAATGATGCTAAGTGCTATGATATTACATGGGGGCATAACTGAGTTACCAGTTTGGGGAATCATAAATAGGAGGGGAAAAAATAGGAGGGGAAATAGGCAGTAATAGGATGGCTTTGGATCCTTCTCCCTCTGTGACTGAAGGGCTGCTTACCTTCAAGCTGAGATGTCTGGATAAGCACTTTAGAACTTGAGCCATGCTGGCTGTGGCCCGTTCCCGCTCATGATCTTTGGTTGATTGTAACCAGGGGTCCATTTGCTGTGGAAAAAAAGGTGGGGAGCCTAAATGGTTTACCAGGAAGATTTTGGATAACACCTTTATTCTGCTTTGAAGAAAATATGGAGAGAAAAGGTCTACAGGTCACTACTATATCTGAAAATGTCCTCCTAAATGATATGCCAGTTTGGGTTGGAAATGCAAGTGGTAGGAAGGCAAACAAGGTATCAAGATTTGCGGTCAGGTGGGCTGGCTTCTACAGAAGCTTATTTTCTGCACTTATTTTCCCTTTACCCCACTTTCTTCAATTATTTATTCCATTCTCCTGTATGTTTTCAGCCTTCTGAAATCTGCTTTGGAAGGAAAGAAAATCAATGATGTGCTATTAAAGAACTCTGAGAGAAAAAAAAAAAGAACTCTGAGGATGGAGAAATTGCATCTGCCTGTAATAGGGAAGGATTCCTGGAGAAGGTAACATTCATGAGTAGAAGCTTTACAAAAAAGGTGACATTTCATGGCCCCATGTGGCAAAAAAACAAACAAAACCCAGGTGGCATTTTAGGCAGAAGAAACAGCTTGAATTAAGATACCAACACAGAAAAGTACAAGGCACAACTGGATAAAGGAGAGAAATCAATCTGGCTGGAGTGTTGATGTACAAATAGAAGAGGAATGAGAAATGTTAAGGGCAGTTGTGGCAAAGATAAATGTTCATTTACACTTAGGCACAGATGATTAATAATAATTTAAAGGGTTATTCCTTTCTGGGATATCTGCATCTTTAAAAGGGGCAAGAGAGCAAGACGCTTGAACTGCAGCGAATGCGCTCCAATGACCAAATCCCTAATGACAGAATGGCAGGTGCCGGAGTGGGTACAGGTGGGGATCGAGGGTTGTTAATGACCCTTGAATCCTGCCTGATAGACACTTGCCTATTTACTCACTCATGAGGCTGACTGTTCTCTGGTCGCTGATTGAAACCTTTTTATGGCAGTAAGCAATAGGAATTTAAGGAATAATTCTAGGAACCATTAAGCCACTTACTGAAGGCCATTTATTCAATACTCACCATAATTATAATCTCAATTTCAAAGTGAAGCAATGAGACTCTGAAAGGTCACATTCTTTGCTGAATTTATAACCCATGAATGTCACAGAGTCAGCCTTTGAAGCCAAGTCTGGCTCAAAACCTGATAGTTGCTAATCTTAACTGCCATGCTCTTTTTTTTTTTTTTAAGATATATTTATTTTAAAGTGAGAGCAAGTGAGTGCACACAGTAGGGAAGGGACAGAGGGAGAGATTCTCAAGCAGACTTCCCACTAAACGTGGTGCCCAACACAGGGCTCGTTCTCATGATCCAGAGGTCATGACCTGAGCTGAAATCAAGAGTCAGATGCTTAACAGACTGTGCCACCCAGGTGCCCCTATGCTATCTCTTAAAACTTAATTCTTATAAAAAAAAAATTTAAAAAAGGGATCCCTGGGTGGCGCAGTGGTTTGGTGCCTGCCTTTGGCCCAGGGCGCAATCCTGGAGACCCGGGATCGAATCCCACGTCAGGCTCCCGGTGCATGGAGCCTGCTTCTCCCTCTGCCTGTGTCTCTGCCTCTGTCTCTCTCTGTGACTATCATAAATAAATTAAAAAAAAAATAAAACTTAATTCTTCTACACTTCTCCTTCCACTCTCACCAATTAATAGAAATAATTTCCCCTTCTCTCTGATATCCTATTTACCTTAAAAATGGTGTCAAGATTTTCCAAATGTGGGTCTTTTACTACCAAACTCTGGAGCATCTCAGAGAATGCTTGAAACGTCTGCCTGTAGAGACACTTGAAAAGGCACAGGATTAGTGATGCCCCCCCACCATAAAGTTCCCCAACACTGTATGCATTTTTTTTTTTTTTGCTTCTACACAGTTTATTTTTTCTTCTTTCCAAGTTTTTATTTAAATTCCTGTTAGTTAATTAGTCTCAGGTGGGGATGCCTAGGTGGCTCAGCAGTTGAGTGCTTGCCTTAGGCCCAGAGCGTGATCCCAGGGTCCGGGGATTGAGTCCCACATTGGGCTCCCTGCATGGAGTCTGCTTCTTTCTGCCTGTGTTTCTGACTCTCTCCCTCTCTGTGTCTCTCATAAATAAATAAATAAATAAAATCTTTAAAAAATATATTAGTCTCAGGTGTAGAATTTAGTGATTCATCACTTACATACAATACCTGGTGTTTCTCACAAGTGCCCTCCTTAATACCCATCATCCTTTAACCCATCCTGTGACCCACTTCCCCTCAGGTAACCATCAGTTTGTTCACTATAGTCAAGCATCTGTTTCTTGGTTTTCCTCTCTTGCCCCACCATTTTCATTTGTTTTATTTCTTAAATTTCACATCTGAGTGAAATAATCTCGGATTTATTTCACTTTGCATAATCTAGCTCCATCCCCATCTTTGCAAGTGGCAACATTGTATTCTTTTTTATGACTGAGTAATATTCCATTGTCCTGGGATCAAGCCCTGTGACTGGCTCTCTGCTCAGTGGAGAGTCGGCTTCTCTCTATCCCCCTCTGCCTGCTGCTCCACCTGCTTGTGCTCTCTCTCTCTCTGCCAAATAAATAAATAAATAAATAATCTTTAAAAAATAAAAATAAGGGCAGCCCTGGTGGCTCAGTGGTTTAGCGCCACCTTCAGCCCAGGGCCTGATCCTGGAGACCTGGGATTGAGTCCCATGTCGGGCTCCCTGCATGGAGCCTGCTTCTCCCTGCCTGTGTGTCTCTCTCTCTCTCTCTATCATGAGTAAATAAATAAAATTTAAAAATAAATAAATAAAAATAAAAAATAAAAAAAATACAGAGAGAGAGGGGTGCCTGGGTGGGCATCCGACTCTTGGTTTCAGCTGAGGTCATGATCTCATGGTAGTGAAATCGAGACTCACTGGCTCTCTCCCTAAAACAAATTAATTAATTTTAAAAAAGAAAAGAAAAAATAAAGAGGGGGATAAAAGCTATTTAATTTAACTGCTTATTTTATTCACCAGAGTTGGCTGAAATTATTTTTGGCTAGTTCCAAAAAATCAAATGCACTCTTCAAAAGGGCCATGAACAGCTGACCCTGAGGATGACAGGAAGTCATTAAACCAAAGCAGGAGTTACCTCTGTGTTGTAGGACCCACTTGGCATGATTTCCTGCAGCTGGATAAGAGCCTCTACAGAGGGCAGAGTGATTATACTTTTTGTGATAAGACTGAACAAATCAGCTCGATCTTCAGAGCCAAATAGCAAATGGATATCTTGGTAACTAAAAAAAGACAGTTTGGGAATAGTAAGCTGGGAAGAGTTTGATTTGACATTGGTAAGCAGGGATCAAAGTTACCCAAGAGGAAAGGGGTGGTCTAACTGGTATATAATTCTGATGGAAGAGACAAAGGGCATGCTTGTTAGCCTTTTTAGACAAATCTCACAAAAGGCTGGAGGAAGAGTTTCAGGGCTCAGAGCCTCTATCCTTCTCCCCTGTTCCTTTCCCGCCTTCCCCAGAGGTTACCGCAGTGACATCCAGGGTTTCCTCCAGTTCGACCATGGAGGAAAGCCTGCTACGGTCTAATACAGTAAACCATGATTTTCCAAAGGATACTCTACTGAACGTTTGTTAATTTGGGAAATGGTGGGTTGAACTATATTAAAAAAGTTTTTAACTACAGGATTTCTTGGGACCTTTAGTAAGTTAGTGTGCAATACAAAGCTCCAAGAAAGATAAACAGCGGGGAGCCCTTCCCAATTTTTTGGACTGTGGAACTCTACTGTCATGAAGCATGAACTTTCCACTGAATATATTTTGAACAAAACTTAACTCCAAAGAGGTTCCAATAAGGTCTTTCAGATGTGGATGGCAGTGTATATGAAATCAAACTTCTTACACATAAACATGGATTTGGCTTCCCCTTCTAACTATATAAATAATTTGCAAAAATTAAAAATATGGAACATGTCAGTTGGCTCTGGTATTGGCCCTGAATGAGAAACCAAGACATGTGTAGGGGGCAGGGAGCATGTGGGCATCACCTGAGGTTAGCAATGGTGATAAAAACCTCTTGGCGCACAGAGCTGAAGAGAGAATGCAGAGGCTCCTCTTCTATCAGCATCTGCAATGAAAGGGCAAAAAGTTTAAAAGAGTCAAGAATGTGCCAAGTCCTTGGACCAGATGATCAGAGAGGTAGGGGGCCTGCAAGAACCACTGTAGGGACTTGATCAGATCCTGCTCCTTGGCTTCCCAGGACCAGCAGCAGGACAGTGGCCAGGCTAGGAGTTTATTCTCTGGAGCCAGAGTCTGAGGCCACTTCTGCCTCTTACTAGCTGTTTGAGTGGACACAAGTTATTTACCTATTTGCCCTCCCTGTACTTCAGTTTCCTCATCTGTAAAATGAGGTAACAGTACTATTTGCCATCATAGGGTGGTTGTGAATACTAATGAGCTAATTCATGATTCCTAGTAGTCCTGTTAGTGTCTGTTACTCCTTATTTTTACTACCTGGGATTATTTTCAATTTAGGCATCCTAACTCTTCCCTCTACTAAGCAGTAATGTCTACTGCAGTGCCTAATATTATGTTACTTGTCCTAGGAAAGGAATAGCTGTCTAAATTCCAAAGTGGCAGAGGGAAAACTGCCTTGCTTTGCTGAGAAAATCTGCAGAGTGACAGAGAGGAAAAATTAGAGGCTTTGGAGTTCGACAGCACCTGGAGTGGGGCACTGGCTCTGCCACTCACTCTCTGTGTGACCCTTAATATATTATTTTACTTCCCTGTGCCTGAGTTCCCTGATCTGTGTTCTGGATAGTCATGGGGGGGAAAGAGATAAATCTCAGGGAGTTGATACAAATAGCAAACGTTAATGGTTGTAGTGGAAGCCCTACTGGATTGTCTACCCAGCCTCTCTGGAAAATGCCTGTGGGTCACAGGAATGAGCACTTCACAGCCATGTTTCTGTTAAGTCATTCTGTCCCATTAACCACAGCTTATCCAGACAGGAGTAGGCATCAAGGCCAATTAGATTTTTTTCTCAGCACTCTGGAATAGAGACCAAGAGCTTCAATCTCAGTCTGGCTGGCCTACTAAAAATAGAAAATTTAAAATTTGGGAGCACTGTGCCCTGTGGACAAGGTAATAGAGCTAATTTTGGGAAGAGAGGTGAAGGAGAGAGAGAAAAATGAAAATGTATACGAAGGAGCAAAAATGAGAGATGGAGATAAAGTTCTGAGTATGTGAAAGCTTTTTTTGTTTTTTTTTTTATGTTTTTTTCTGGTTTCATTTTTTTCTTGGAGCATGTGGCTCTTCCTGTACAAGATTCTGGGAATACTCACTCATCCTAAAAACAAATCTCCCCTTTTGTGTTTCAGCTGCCTCTAGTGAATTTCTGTTACCTGCCACCAAAAAGACTCATCAGGAACTTACTGTCCAGGAGGCAGTGCTCAATAAATAGTATGGTGTTCTCTTTCTTGCCCCTTCCAACTTTTCTCTTTCCCTTCTCACTTTCCAACCCTGGTTAGATCTTGCTGGTAGCCTGGTGTTCTTTCTTATTTCCTCAAAGAGCTCACTTAATCTTATGGCTTTTTAGTCTGGAAGGGAGAAAGCATAACACTCTGCCTTCAGTCTCCCAGGGCTACTCACTCAAATCTAGTTATCTCATGAACATTATCACTAAGAGCATAGCTATAACCTCATTTGCTGTTAAATGTGAGTTCATTCCCTTCCCCTTCCAAAGGACATACCTTCCCAACCTTCCTGTCAATAGTGCTCTTTCCCAGGGCTCGTGAAAGAGAGGACTTATGATTTCTTTTTCTCCTTTATTCATTTCCTACATCCAGTCAATCATGATGATAGCTACTGCCTGCTCTGTGCAGTTTCTGACTCTCCATCCCTACAGCAACAGGCCTCACATGTGGATGAAAGCAGTGCCTCCTAGCTAAGCCACCAGGCCAGGCCTGCAATCCCCTTTTTCAATCAATTGGGTATGAAAGACTTATTAATTGTTCACAATTATGCTAATAACTCTGGGGAATTTAGAAGTGAGAGGCTATTTTTTGTTTGTAAAGTATTTGTGTGGTAGGAACCTCTTGGGATGACTATCCAGAACACAGCAATCATCCCTCCTCTGGGAATGGCCTTGGATATACAGAGAGGGATGTCCAGAAGTCATGTCCTTACTATCTGATGCTGCCCTCAAACATGCCCAATTGATGAAAGAGTGGAGAACAGACCCAGTCTGGGTCAATCAGATTCTTTCTTCCAGAACCTGGAATTTCTGAGTGACAGACACAGATTGGGAGCTGTTAGAGTTTGAGTCAACATGATAGGAGAGCTACCCTTGCTTTTGAAACCCCAGGAGTTGTCCTAGAACATACTCTTCTGGAGACTTGATTGTTAAACCTCTTCCTGGGGATCCCTGGGTGGCGCAGCAGTTTGGTGCCTGCCTTTGGCCCGGGGCGTGATCCTGGAGACCTGGGGTCGAATCCCACGTCGGGCTCCCGGTGCATGGAGCCTGCTTCTCCCTCTGCCTGTGTCTCTGCCTCTCTCTCTCCCTGTGTGACTATCATAAATAAATAGAAATTTAAATAAAAATAAAATAAAATAAAATAAAAACCTCTTCCTTAGATTCTTTCTTTTTTTCTTGAAGATTTTATTTATTTATTCATGAGAGACACACAGAGAGAGAGAGAGGCAGAGACACAGGCAGAGGGAGAAGCAGGCTCCATGCAGGGACCCTGACGTGGGACTCGATCCGGGTCTCCAGAGATCACGCCCTGGGCTGAAGGCAGGTGCTAAACCGCTGAGCCACCGGGGCTGCCCTCTTCTTAGATTCTAAGGGAGATATTCCCCCCCCCACCCTTTTTTTAAGCTTAGGTAAGCCAGAGTTGATTTTTATTGTTTTCTCCAAGAATAATCTTAACCAATATTAACAAAAATGAGACATTTTGTCTCAAAGGCCTTAATGAAAGCCAGACATAGATTACTATCTCCATTTTCCAGGTGGACTTAGAGGTTCAGAGAAGCTAAGTGATTTGTCTAAGTGATTTGTCTGTATGATACAGGTCGGGCTTGACTGCACTGGAACTAGAAATTGTGTCTTCTAATTACTAAAATAGCTCCCTTTCTTCTTCATTGTTCTGCTTCAGGGAGCTCAAACTCTCAACACCACAACTGGGCAGTCTTTTCATGTTAGTTCAGTCTACTGTGAACTGTCCATCCTTTGAAATCCTTCAGCATTTATTATCTACACCACTGAAGAATCTTTCGGAAACGTCATTCTTATCCATTGCCTGCCTTGCTGCATAAATAACCCAGTGCCTGTTCCATGCTAAGTGTACCTTTATTTACCAGACAACAACATAGTAGTAGGATTTTGTGGAGGACCCCAGGTACAGAATTAGGGTGGGCCCCCAAGCTGGCAGAGGAGAATTAACAGGTACTAAAGCATATGTCTGACTCCGTTAGAATTCTAGTATAGCAGATTTTAAGGCCCCTGTCTGCTGTTGGACCCCAACAGCATCTAAAAAGCACCTCCACTGTCATTCTGCCTTGACCTGGCCACGTAGTAATCTGCCAATCAGCCCTACCCACTTGTCCCTTCTATCTTCCCTATCCCTCACATCTTTCGAGGCTTAGATCAGGAGATCTATCTGGATTAATTTCATGCCAATCTTGTCATCTTTACTCTGTATCCTAGTTGCCGTTGCATTTTTTTCTTATTAAAGTTCTCAATGGAATTTTTACAGCTTTTTGGACTTTGAGGTAAAAGACACAAGATAAACCGCACATATTTTAAAGTGTATGGTATGATGATTTTTGACTTACGTATATGTCCATGAAACACCATCACCACAACCAAGATAATGAACATACTCCCAAAAGTTTTTTTTGTGCGAACTTTGTAATTTCTCACTCCTGTTCCTCCCCATTCTACCCCTATTTTCAGGTAACTACTGATCTGATGTCACTTTAGATAATTTTGCATTTTCCAGAATTTTATATAAATAGAATCATATGACATATATCTTCGTCTGGTTTCTTTCACACAGCATTGAGATTCAAGTTGTAGCATGTGTCAATAGTTCATCCCTTTTTCTTTATTTTTTTAACTCTTTTTAAAAAAGATTTTATTTATTTGAGAGAGAGATCACAAGCAGGGGGGAAGGGCAGAGAGAGAAGCAGACTCCCCACTGAGCAGGGAGTCCAATGTGGACAAATCCCAGGATCCTGGGACCATGACCTGAGTTCAGGGCAGATGCTTAACCAACTGAGCCACCCAGGTGCCTGATTCCTTTTTTTTTTTTTTTAAGATTATACTTATTTGACAGAGTGAGAATATGAGCCAGCGGTGGGGTGGGGGCAAGGGGAGAAGCAGAGGGAGAAGGTAAAGTAGGCTATTTGCTGAGCAGGAAGCCTGATGCAAGGATGCTGGGACTGTGACCTGAGCTGAAGGCAGATGCTAAACTGACAGCCACACAAGAGTCCCTAGTTCATTCCTTTTTGTTTTTTTAAGAGAGAGGGAGTGTGTGCACGTGTGCACATGCACACGTAAGCAAGGAGGGGGATGCAGAGGGAGAGGGAGAGAATCTTAAGCAGGCTCCATGCTCAGTGCAGAGCCTCATGTAGGGGCTCGATTTCATGACTCTGAGATCATGACATGAGCTAAAATCAGGAGTCAGACACTTAATTGACTGAGCCACCCAGGTGTCCCTGTTCATTCCTTTTCATTGCTGGGTAGTATTCTGTTGTAAGGAGATACAATTTGTTTATCCATTCAGCTGTTGATGGACATCTAGGTTGTTTCCAGTGTTTAGCTATTATATGGAGTTTCTATAGACATTTGTATACATGTTTTATTTGACATATGCTTCATTTTACCTATGAATAGAATTGCTGGGTCATATGGAAAGTGTTTAATGAACGTTCTAGTGGGTGTATAGTTGAATCTCATTGTGGTTTTAATTTGCATTCCCTAATCACTATCATGGAGCATCTTTCATACTCTTATTTATAAATATTCTTTGGTGGAGTGTCATAACAGATCTTTTCCCCTTCCTTTCCATATTCTGTTCATAGCTTTTTTGGTTCTTTAAATTTGGATACTAAGGAGGCACGTGTTGGCATAGGTCATGAGAAGACAGGCAAATGCCTTATAATTCTTTCCTTATAATTGCCCTGCTTTCCCCTCCTTGTAGGTTACTCAGCAGAAGTGCCTCTTCTCTTGGTTGTTGGGAGCTATAGTCTCTATACGTGGGCTCACAGGGATTTTGTAGGCTTGTCCAGTGATGTAATGATCTGTGCAATTCTCTCATGGACACCAACTACCTTTAACTCTTCTAGGCTGTAACTCTTGCTAGCTCCAGTTTTGGTTGCTACCAGACAGTGGGTATTTTACTCCTGGCTGGACAGATTTAAATGCAGAGTATGGGTAAAATCAGTGTACATTTGGTGTTTGGGACTTGTATTTGTGGATCCTCTGAGCTGGCTGGTTGAACCAGGTGGCAACCCACTGCTGCCAATTATTGTGGAAGTGAGATTTTGGAGTCACAACATTTGGTTGGGTCCTATGGCTGCCTATATCCCTCTTTCCATGGAGTGTAGCCAAGTAGAGAGCTGTATTTGTCCTTAAATCTGCACATCATCCTGTTCTTCTTGATATATTATTTGGATCAGTTCTCAACCTATTTATGAGGTATGGTCACTTCCAAATGGATTATAAACTCTTGAGAGGGCAAGCATTAACACTTCCATTAAATTTGTACTCTTTATTGAAGCACCACAGTGTTCTAGATAGAGAAGATCCTTAATAATTGCCTATTGCTTAACAAATCTGTTAGCTGGTTAGCCTTCAATTCTGAAAACTAAGCATCAGTCTAATCAGTCTTATGGACCTGTGGGCTGAAAAAAACTGCTCATTTTCTTGGAGTGTCTAAGAAATCTCAGATTCAGGATTTTAGAGCTTCAGAGAAACTGAAGGGGATATTTTACATGTGAGAAAATGAAAGCATCAAAAAATTAAACACTGCTTAAATGTATCACAACCTTTTTAAAGCCCTTCTGGATCTTTTGACATGGAATCAACTTCTCACTCACTCCTCTGTACTTTCACTACAGCTGTTTAAACTTGTCATAGTCCCTGTGACCCTTGACTACATCTTGCCTGGCTTCAGGAACAGGGATCCTGTCTTATCTTTGTAGGCTCAATTCCCAGACACTGCCTGGAATAGTCAGGCACTTAATAAGACAATGAATGAATGAGATCATGGCAGAGTGGGGCTGGAGTTAAGTACAAACATAACAATAAAAAGAATATAAACAGGTGGTTCAGCAGTTAAGTGTCTGCCTTTGGCTCAGCGTGTGATCCTGGAGTCCTGGGATCCAGTCCCACATCAGGCTCCCTGCATGGAACCTGCTTCTCCCTCTGCCTATGTCTCTGCCTCTCTCTCTCTCCCTCTCTCTCTCTGTGTGTCTCTCATGAATAAATAAAATCTTAAAAAAAAAACAGAATATAACCATGTTCCTTTATGTAAAATATGTGTCAGGTATCATGCTTCATGGGTTATGTTTATTTCTTATTTCTTTTTATTATTACTTATTGTTATTACATTTATATCTTATCTCAATAGCTCTGTGAAGGATACAGATATTCTTATTTTGTAGATGAGGAAGCAGAGGCACTGAGAAGTTACATAGCTTCCCAAAGTCACACAGCTGGAAAGAGGCAGAACTGGCACCTGAATTCAGGCACTGGATTATATAGTTTGCCTCACAACTATGGCTTCATTAATGAGAATGCAGCATTGTTCTTACTGAGAAATTTAAATGCTATTTCTCTTCCTTTCTACTCATCTTTTAGTTTTTTTTCAAAGGTGATTATATTTGTGGAGTACTCCTGCGTATTTCTCCTCCATGCACAGATACTGATAGGAGAAGAGGCCAAAGGAACTGATAATATATAGGAAGCCACTAAAACATTTGTTAGTCAAGTCATTGAGTTTGTGTGGTCCTGATCATTTGTGATAAGGTCACAATACTTACATTTAGCACACGCACAATGTCTATTATGTGGTTGTGAATGAATGATTCTGTGGTTTCATCGTAAGGTAAGGTTTGGCTGAGAGAGGACAAAGATCTTAGGAATGTCAGCTTCTCAAATTCACTCTGAATTTGTGGAAAAATGAAAAAACACAATTATATATTATAATCTCATTTGATAATTTAGAGAGCTTTTAAGAACTTTCCTATAATATTACAAACATCTAACATCTCATTCAATCTAGTATCAGTTTTTTATTAAAAGGAGTGAATAAATTACAGGGGAATGGAATTCTTCATCTACTTGACCTGCCTGTTTGCAACTTTGTTTTTCCTCTCAGCTAGATTAAATGCTAGGTTACTAACTGCTCCATGATGGCTCTCCCACCTTTAGTCTTTGCTTCCCCCACTACCCATCCTATTTATATACTGCTGTCTGATTAAACTTCCTAAAGATGAGCTTTGATACTGTCATTCTAGGTCTCTTGATATCATTAAAGATTATTTTGAGTCTTTAAGGTTCCCTATTAAAATGCAAGTTCTTGGGATGCCTGGGTGGCTCAGCGGTTGAGCATCTGCCTTTGGCTCAGGGTGTGATCCCAGGGTCCCAGGATGGAGTCCCATATCAGGCTTCCTGCATGGAGCCTGTTTCTCCCTTTGCCTGTGTCTCCGCTTCTCTCTCTGTGTCTCTCATGAATGAATAAAAATCTTTAAAATAAAATAAAACAAAATAAAATAAAATGCAAGTTTTTATTTGAAGAATGAAATCTTTTGTATTACTCTTTTTCTGATTATAAAAACAATATCTATTTATCATAGAAACTGAAAAAAACATATGAAGACAATAAAAGACATCAATAATTCCACAATCTTGGGACACCTGGGTGGCTCAGCGTTTGAGCGTCTGCATTTGGCCCAGGGCGTGATCCTGGAATCCAGGGTCGAGTCCCACATCGGGCTCCCTGCATGGAGCCTGCTTCTCCCTCTGCTTATGTCTCTGCCTCTCTCTCTGTCTCTCATGAATAAATAAAATCTTTAAAAAATAATAATAATAATTCCACAATCTCGAGAAAATTTCTTCTCATCTTTCTCCACCAGCCTGTATCTAGTATAAACAGGTATAAGCTCTCTGGACAGCAAGTAGCAATACATACAGCCAGAAGCTGACTTCATACCCTAATTCTTTCTCTACATTACTATAATAATCCAACATGGAGTTTCCCTGCTCCAGTTTTGACCCCCTCCAATCTATTCCTCCGGCTATCACCAGATTCATCTTTATTTAGTGCTAACTTGATCAGGTAACTCTCTATCAAAATATATTTCAGTTGCACCCATGAAGGTCAAGGCCCTCCCAATGTGACTCCAGCTAACCTCTTTAAATTCATCTCCTGCCTTGTCCTGCAACATTCTGAGCCTTAGACATATTAACTTTTATACTGCCCTTTCTCGGTTCTGGGCCTTTTTACCTTCTGAATTTTCTATACTTATTTTGTTTACTGACTAAACTCTACACATTCTTTAAGACTAGGAAAATGCATTTTCTCCTGAAGCAGCAATGGGTACCCTTCCTAAGAGTATCCACAAAGCACATGTGTATATTGCTAACATAGTATTTGTGATACTCTGACAAAACTACCTTCTTTTTTCCTGCCTGATGGTGGATTCAGGTCAAGGCAGAGAATGGATTTTCTCTTTTTCAATTCACTGCAGCAATCCCAGCCCTTTATTAATTACAAAGAAATGCTTTATAAAGCCCTGCTGATGTGAAGTGTAAAGAAAAGTCTGAGTCAAAAGTAATAGACTCACATTCTGGCTTTAGGTGTTTTTTGAAAAAAAAAATTTATTACCATTATACATAGAGAAAATGTAAGGCTTCATGAATTTCCCCCAAACTATAAACATCTGTGTATATATATCCAAAGGAAATGAAATCTGGATCTCAAAGAGATCTGTGCACTCTCATATTCACTGCAACATTATTCACAATAACCAAGATATGGAAACAACCCAAGTGTCGGTTGATAAAGGACAGACATCTCTGACACTATCATTTAAACATACCAGGTTTCTGTGAGTTCATCAAATAGCTCTGCTCCTTTCTGCCTCAAGGTTGTTAAACATAACATGTCCTATTTCTGGAATAGTTTCTCCAGTTCTAACTTCTCTTAGTTTCTCCTACCCATTCCTCAGATCTGATATCAAGCGTTCCTTCCTCAGAAATGCTTCCCTTGCCCCAGGCTAAGATAAATTCTTCTGTTACTTGCTTTCACAGAGTAAATGAATGAATGAATGTTTTGCTAAACAAAATATTGTATTAAAGTAGGATAATATAGGGCAGCCCTGGTGGCTCAGCGGGTTTAGCGCCACCTCCAGCCCGGGGCGTGATCCCGGAGACCCGGGATCGAGTCCCACATCAAGCTCCCTGCATGGAGCCTGCTTCTCCCTCTGCCTGTGTCTCTGCCTCTCTCTGTGTGTCTCTATGAATAAATAAATAAAATGTTTAAAGTAGGGTAATATAGATCTATACCTATTCACCTAGAAAACTTTTTTCCTCCCACCATCTCTGATGTTTATTTTTCTATAATTACATGCATTTGTATGTACAGAAGAAAAAGTCTGAAAAAATACATGCCAAAATGTTAACATTAGTTATCTCAGGAGAGTGGATATGAGAAGATTCATTTTTCTTTTTCTTTTCCTTATTTTAATAGGAGTTTTATAGTTTTTAAGCATTTTTTAAAGATTTTATTTATTTATTCATGAGAGAAAGAGGTGGGGGGGGGGAGGCAGAGACATAGGCAGAGGGAGAAGCAGGCTCCATGCAGGAAGCCCGATGTGGGACTTATCCTGGGTCTCCAGGATCAGCCCCTGGGCTGAAGGCAGGCGCTAAACCACTGAGCCACCCAGGGATTCCCCTATAGTTTTTTTTTTCCTCTATAGTTTTTATAAATATAAATACACTATATAAGTGTATATAAATGTTTATTATAAAAATATAAACACATTTATATTATAGTCTATAATACCAGTTATATGATAAAGCAATATCAAATGTTTAAATATTTGTTAGAATATTTGAAATGAATACGTTGGCTCAGTAAGACTCCTTGTACATACCTGTAGCTCACCATTAAAAACCTCCTGGATAGACTGGATCAGCCTCTCAACATTGGCCTCACTGACGGGGCCCTGTTGGGTCAGGTGTCTGAAGCTATCTATGAACGATTCTTGAGAGAGTCCAGTGATGTCAAAGATATCGGAGTCTAATACCAAAAGAAACACAGCAGATGACACCTACGTACTACACAGAGTTTTATAGTCTAGTGCAGAGATCCACCAGATGTCAGGATAGACGTGCCCTGGTCTTATCTTTACTATCTGCTCTGCAACCTTGACCAAGTCCCTTCCACACTCCAAGTCTGTCTTCCCAATGACAAATTCAGTGTACTCTTAGGGCCTCCTAAACTACAAATATCTTTAATACTGAGCTATAGTAGAGTGGTTGAGAGCATGGACATCTCAATGTGAGACTAATGTGAATCCTGGCTTTACCCTTTATTAGTTGTATGACCTTTATCAAGTTAGTTTGCCTCTTAGAATCTTAGTTTCTTCACCTGTAAAACAAGGTTATCACAAGGATTAAGTGAGGTAATGAATACAAAGACTTATCTCAGTATGTGGTCCAGAGTAAGCACTTAAATGAGATATATTATTAAATACAAAACTCAAGGACTCTGTAGTGACAAGAGCTTAAAATCTAGTAGCAGCCCTTTGCTGATCTCTTCCCTGCAGTAGGTACTTGAGGTATCTCCTTCCAGACCCAGGATATACTTTGTTTAAGAGCACAGGTTCTGGAGTTGGTCTGCCTAGTCTTGGATCCTTGCTCTGCTTCTTTCTAGCATTCTGACCTTGTGTGATCTTACTTTTTCTTGGCCTATTTCTTCATTTCCAAAATAGGATGATAACAGAACCTACTTCATTTGGTTGATGCAGAGCTAGCACCAAGGAAGTGTTAGTAAATATTGTTCTTTCGTTGAGTGACAATAATTATGGTGGCATCGTTTCCCTCTTCATATAGCTTTACATCTTTACCTCCTCTGTTTCCCCAAACCAAATCCTTTACTCCTATTGGGGAAACAGTTTTACTATTTTCCCCTTAACACACCCATTGTCTGAGGGTTTTTACCACTCCACTTTTGTACCCTTTTTGGTCTCCTGAATTATGGCCTATTCTGCATTGTCACATTCTTCTCATGCACTAGAAGCCTTGTTCTCATTCACCTCTCATGCTTCTCCTTGCATGTTTCTCCTTCTTCCCCACCTTCCCTTCTTCCTACCTCCTTTGCCTAGGTAGTTCCTACTCATCCTTCAGGACTTTGCTCCAGGATGCCTTTCTTGAATCCCCTCTTTGTCTATTTTGACCAAGTATCCTCTTGGCTGCTAAAAAACTTCTTTAGGGACGCCTGGGTGGCTCAGGAGTTAAGCATCTGCCTTTGGCTCAGGGCATGATCCTGGAGTTCCAGGATCGAGTCCCACATCAGGCTCCCTGCATGGAGTCTGCTTCTCCCTCTCTGTGTCTCTCATGAATAAATAAAATCTTTTTTTTTTTTTAAAAAAACCTCTTTATATTTGCTCCCTATCCCCATTCCCAATCACCCATATTAAAATAAGTTCCAATCATTTATCTACAAGTACATTGTATCTGTTCCGTTCATTACTAAATCTGTAGCAGTTAGGGATCCCTGGGTGGCGCAGCGGTTTGGCGCCTGCCTTTGGCCCGGGGCGCGGTCCTGGAGACCCAGGATCGAATCCCACATCAGGCTCCCAGTGTATGGAGCCTGCTTCTCCCTCTGCTTGTGTCTCTGCCCGCCGCCCCCCCCCCCCGTGTGACTATCGTAAATTAAAAAAAAAAAAAATCTGTAGCAGTTAGATTAGTGTTTATGGCATAGTAGGCTTTGATAAATATTTGTTGAATGAGTAGAGAAATGGATAAATGTAGTTCCTTAAATAGTCTTTCCTGTCTCATGTGTATGCTATTATATCCACCTGGAATGTTCTTTCCTCTGCTTCTCCCATGGGTTGCTTTTTCATATCCCTGAGGCCTCCTTTAGGTTTAAACAGCACCATCTTAAACAGGTGTTCTCTGGCAACCACGGCTTAAAATAGGTTCCCGTCTCCCTTATTTTTTGTCTTAGCTCCTTGTATAATTCATTCACAGTATTAAGTACAATTTGTGATTTCTTTACTTATTTTGGTCCTTTTCAGCAAATTCTAAGGGCAGGGACCATGTTGGTCTTGCTCATTGCTGTATATGCAGTCACCGGTACTCAGTAAATGTTTGTGAATGAATGAGAGATATTCTGTAGCCCAATCAAGGGTCCACCCACAGCCACCTTTTGCTTCTGGTATCCTAGTACTTAGGCTCTGTGCAAGTCTGCAGGATTATCTACCTCAGTTTCCTATATGTCTAGATAAATATATTTTATCTCACTGTGCCAATCATATTCCAAGGTCTTATACTCAGGGACCAAATTTACCGTCAAAGTCTAGTTGAGGGCTCTCTCTCATCCAGCAACTTGAGTTGATCAGAGATTCCCTTTTCCCTACCTCCCTCCTTAAAAAAAGGAATCCTTTCTCCTTTTTACCTGTAAGTTCAAGGCTACTTGGATCTTTTTTAATATCCTCCAAGTTGCTCAGCTGCAAATCCACACTTCCTGAGTCATTGTCAGAATCACAAGGGATCACTACTTCCTGACTACAGATCCTAGGAACGAAGAGGGGATTAGAAATATTAGTATTTTATTCTCTTAATTTTACTTATTTAATTTAAAATCAATTAACATATAGTGTGTTATTATTTTCAGAGGTAGAATCTAGTGATTCATCAGTTGCATATAACACCCAGTGCTCATTAATTACATCGAGTGCCCTCCTTAGTGCCCATCACCCAGTTACCCTACCCTCCACCTCTCTCCCCTCCATCAACTCTCAGTTTGTGACCTATAGTTAAGAATCTCTATGGTGGGCAGCCTGGGTGGCTCAGCGGTTTAGCACTGTCTTCAGTCCAGGGCCTGATCCTGGAGACCCAGGATCGGGTCCTGCATCAGGCTCCCTGCATGGAGCCTGCTTCTCCCTCTGCCTCTGTCTCTCTCTCCTCTCTGTGTGTCTCTCATAAATAAATAAAATCTTTAAAAAAATATCTTATGGTTTGTCAAGAAATGTTAGTATTTTAGGATTGCTTCTGTCTCGTCGCTCAAGAGAAAGCTTAAATGTCACCTTTTCAGAGAAGCATTTGTTGATCATCAGTCTAGGTTAGGTAGCCTTTCCCTACCCCAGTTCTACAGTTGTTTTCTTATTTTTTTTCATAGTATTTAACCATTATCTATAGTTATCAAGTTCATTTGTATTTGTTGACTATCTTTCATCAGATTATAATCTCCAAGAGAAACCTTGTCTACATGGTAATGGTTGAATTCCCAGCACCTAGCATACTGTCAGTCTCATGGGACATGAATGGATTGGTAAGAAATACTATGTTGCTGTTAAAATAAACTAAGGTAGAATACCCCTTTCCCCTAACTTCCCTTACCCTTTCCTACTTTTTCTTCTTTCTTTTTTTTTTAAACATTTATTTTTTTTAAAGATTTATTTATTTATTTATTTATGATAGACAGAGAGAGAGAGAGAGAGAGAGAGAGAGAGGCAGAGACACAGGAGGGAGAAGCAGGCTCCACGCCGGGAGCCCGACGTGGGACTCGATCCCGGGACTCCAGGATCGCGCCCTGGGCCAAAGGCAGGCGCTAAACTGCTGAGCCACCCAGGGATTCCCTTTTTCTTGTTTCTATAGCACACAATACTTTCTAATATATCATTTACCTATTTTTGATTATTATTTATCGTCTGTTTCTTCCTGCTAAAATGCAAGCTCCATGAAGGCAAAGATCTGTGGCTACTTTGTTCATGAATATATTCTAAGAGACCAGAATGCCTGGCATATGGTAATCCTCAATAAATACTGGTTGAGCGAGTGAATAGATCTTTATTTGCTGAATGTTTAGCATATATTAATGAATGAAAAAAGCAAGTTGTCAAACAATGTATGTAAACTGTGTGTGAGTACATACAGACACACAGATACACATAAGTGTTGGGATACATGTAGAAAATCTTTTGGTACTCATTTTTTAAAAAGATTTTATTTATTTATTCATGAGCGACACAGAGAAAGAGGCAGAGACAGATGGAGAAGCAGGCTCCATGCAGGGAGCCTGATGTGGGACTCAATCCTGGGACTCCAGGATCACACCCTGAGCCGAAGGAAGATGCTCAACTGCTGAGCCACTCAGGCGTCCCTCTTTTGGTATTCAAACCAAACGTCCGTGGAGTGGAATTTTTGAAAGAAAAATTGAATTTTTTTTAACTTTTATACTGCCTGATTTTTTTTTTAACATTGGCATGAGTAGTAAATATTGACACAGATGTGGAGCAAAGAACTCTTATAAATCACAGTTATAGTGTAAATTGGTGCAACCATTTTGGAAATAATTTGGCATTATCTAGTAAAGTTGCAAATGTGCCTATATCATGACTCACTATTTACTCCAAGGGATGTAGTCCAGTAAAACTGTTACCCATATGCATTAGGAATATATACAAGAAACTTCACAGCAGTAGTCATCATAGCAAAAAACTAGAGACACACAATGGCTTACCAACAGTAGAATAAACTGTGGTGACTCATCCAATAAAGTGCTATACAGTAGTGCAAATGAATGAGTCCTAGCTATCCACAGCAATATAGATAAATCTTACAATGCTGAGAGAAAAAAGAAAGTCACAGGAAAAATATGCAGTAAATTCCATTTATATAAATTTAAGAAAATGTAAAAGTAAACAAATACTATTTGAAGTTATAAACACACAGTAAAACTATAAAGAAAAGCAAGGAAACAATATAACCTATAAACTTCAGGATAGGGGTCTTTGGGTGGGGGGAGAAGGTGATAGAATGGGTAAGACTAGAAAAGGGACTTAAAGGATGGTTATGTTCTTCTTCTTCTTTTTTTTAAAGTAGGCTCCAATCCCAGTGTGAAGCCCCACGCGGGGCTTGAATTCACGACTCTTGAGAGAAGGATCTGAGCTGAAATCAAGAGTTGGATGCTTAAGTGACTAAGTCCCCCAGGAACTCCTGTGCTTTCTTTAATAAGATAGCAAGTACACAATTTCACTGTATCATTCTTTTTTCTTTATTTATGTGTTATAAATATTGTTTTTTCATTTAGTCAATAGTAAATAAAACAATTTTGGGGGAAAAACCCCAAACTGATAAAGTTTGAGCTTCTTCCTATGTACTTATATATCTTTAATAATTAAGAAAAACTAGTTAATTAAAAACACACAAACCCTCTAAGAGTAGAATGGCTCTGTCATACAGTAGGTCATAGAACTGATTTTTTTTAAAAAGCTACAAATCTGTTGTACCATTTTATATTTCCACCAGCAGTATATGTAAGTTCCAGTTGCTCCGCATCCTTGCCTGCATTTGGCATGGTTGGTCTTTTTATATTAACTATTTCAGTGGACCTGCAGCAATACCTCACTTCAACTTAATATACAATGCAGTTAATATGTAATGATGTTGATTATCTTTTTATGTGCTTATGTATACCTTGATGAAGTGTTTATTCAGATCTTTTGTTTGTGTTTTTTTACTGGGTTGCTTGCAGTGAGTGGTATGCTGGTAAATAAAATGTTTAAAACAGACTCTAAGTGTAGTTTTTAAGTGAATGCTGGTTGGTATTTTCATTTACATCAATGAGTAAGATGTAACTGAAACTTCAGAAGTGACTTCTCTGAGTTGGATAATAGTTTTCAAACCCTAGAACAATATTGCCTCAAGTTTTTGGGCTATTTGCAATGTGAAGCTTATAAACATGACAAACATCTAAATTTAATCTCTCTCACTCTTTTAAAATATTTTAATTTATTTGAGAGAGAGCAAGAGAGAGCACAAGCAGAGGGGAGAGGGAGAAGCAGGCTTCCCACTGAGCAGGGAACTTCATGTGGGGCTCAATCCCAGGACCCCAGGATCATGACCTGAGCCAAAGGCAGACATTTAACTGGCTGAGTCACCCAGGCGCCCCTGAATTTAATCTTTATTAACATTTCTCCATCATTAAGTTTAGATATAATAAAGCAAAAAATCAAGCCTTGGTGTATAGCATTCATTGATTCTATGGTGTAAATATTCCCATTGTGGACAAAGTCCAATGTTACTTTAGAAAGAGATGTACAGAGCACACCACCATATAATTTTTCCACCATATAGATGCAATAGATATAAGCAACCACAAAAGCATAGAAAGTGATAAAATAATAACAAAATGATGACTTCGGTTTTCAATAGACTTTATTTCATTGTAAGTCTGTATAATTTTTCTAAATAGCTGTATGTAACAACAATTTTGTAAAATTCTTGGTAAATTTAAAGGTATTATTTATTTATTTTTAGAGAGGGAGTGTGTGAGCAGGAGGAGAGGCAGAGGGGGAGCAAGAAGAAGAGGAGAAGAATCCCATGCAGACTCCACTCTGAGGCCGATGTAAGACTTGATCCCACATGCAGGACTTGATCTCACAACCCCGAGATCATGACCTGAGCCAAAACCAAGATACTCAACAAATTGATCCACCTAGGTGCCCCTCTTCCTAAATTTCATAAGTGACTCTTGCAAGCCAGTATGAGATGGCTCCAGCACAACACTGGCTGTCTTATTATTGAGTTGGAAGAGGTGTGTGTGTGTGTGTGTGTGTGTGTGTGCATGTGTGTGTGTTTAAGATTTGAGGGAGGGAGGGGGGCAAGAGGTAGAGGGAGAGAGAGTCTCGAGCAGAGTTGGAGCTGAGCAGGGACCCTGAGATCAGGACCCTGAAATCAGGACTGAGATCACAACCGGAGCTGAAACCAAAAGTCTGAGGCTCAACCCACTGTACAACTCAGGAGCCCTGGAAGGTTTTTTTTATATATTCTGTATCAGCACCATTCAATAGAACTTTCTGTGATATTGGAAATGTTCTGTAATTCTGCACTGCCGAAAAATGATATCCAGTAGCCACATGTGGCTATTGAGCATTTGAAATGTGGCTAGCACAACGGAGGAACTGAGTTTTTCATTCTAATTAATTTAAACTCAAATATCCACACAGAGCTAGAATCTAGTTTACTGAATAGCACAGTAGTACAGAATAGTATCCTCTATTTGGGATAATAATATCTGGAACACTAATAATAAGACATACTACATTATGCATACTTTATATGTTCACAATAGTTAAAAAGCACAGATTATAGAGTCAGGCTGCCTGGCTTCATACCTTTTAGTTCTTTTCTCTATAAAATGAGAATAACAGTACAAACAGTACAAACCTCACAGAACAGCAATAAGGAGTAAATAATGTACGTAGAGCACTTAGTACACTTGTTGGACCATCCTGTAAATGCTCAATAATTGTAGTTATTATGGAGTTCCTAGATAAGTCACTTCCATTTTCTTTTTTTAATTACTGAGTGATTCTTTTTTTTTTATTTTTATTTTAAAACAAGCAGGCTGTTTTGCTCTCATAAGTCACTTTTTTTTTTTGTCACTTCTATTTTGATCCTGTTACTTCTGTAAAATTGGGCTACTATGTTCCTCAAAGTCACTGTACTAAGGAGTACTAAGTCCGCAGAGATGCTTTGCAAATCAAAGAAAACATCACTCTAGCTAAGTTATTAAGAAGCGAAACAATCTTTGGAAGCAACTGCCATAATTTCCTAAAGAGAAAGAAAAGAGGAGGGGAGGGAAGGAAGGGGGTAAGGAGGGAAGGCAGACAGGCAGACAGAAGGAAGGAAGGAAGATGGAAGGCAGGCAGAAAGGTAGAAGAAGAAAGACAGGAAAGAAAGACAAAAAGACAAAGACAAGACAGGAAAACAGAAGGAAAAAAAGAAGAAAAGAAAAGAGGAGAAAAGAAAAGGAGAAAAAGAGGGAAGGGAGAAAGAAAAGAAGAAAAGAAAAAATCGAAAAGAAGAAGAGGGAAGGGAGAAAGAAAAGAGGAAAGAAGAGAAAAGAAAATAGAAAAGAAAAGAAAAGAAAAGAAAAGAAAAGAAAAGAAAAAAAGAAAAAGAAAACCCCAGCCCTAGAACACTACCGGCTCTTGCTTACTGGACCCTTTCCATTCCTTTAAAATTGGCCGGGCTGCAGAGAGCCGACTGAGTGACGGCGCAATTGGCCAATCAACGCGACTGGCCAATCAGCGGAAGCCCCGTTTCGGGCCCGCCCCGACGCCTCGTCCAATCGCGCGCTGGCAGCGTCCGGATTAGGACCGTTGCGAGACGGCTGGTTCCAAGTGAGCCAGGTCGCGGGGGGAGGGAAGCGGGCCTGTACGCGAGGACCGCGGCGCCCTTTGCGCGCGGGGACTGAACTGGGGCCGCGGCTCCTGGGACCAGCCCTAGCCTGCGGGACGGCGGGGGCTGACCTGTGCCGAGATCCCATTCCAGCACGCGCAGTCTGCTGCGAGTCCCTGGCGTCCCCTCCGGCGTGCTCTTGGAGCCACTTTCCCGAGCGGAAGTCAGCCTGCGGCTCCGGCCCTGGTGGGACCTGCTCGGAGGAATGGCGTCGCCGGGTGAGGCGTAGTGCATGGCTCGACGACGGGGCCCCGCGGACGGCACGCCTTGGCGAGTGGACGCTGGTGCTCGCCACTCGGGAGCTTGCCAGGCGGGAGCCTCTCCCCCTGTAGGGCAGGGGCATGGGCTCGGGCTCGGGCTCGGCTCGGGCTCTTTCGGGGTCGAGTGCGTGACGGAGGGCGGGCGGAGCGGGTGGGACTGCGGGCGGGCGGCGGTGGGGTGGGGGCCAGTGCGGCGGGGAGCTACGGGTGCCCCCGAGGCCCACCCACGGCCCGCGGTCAACTCTTACGTCTGGCTTCGCCCATCCATTTGACTCGCGGCGGCTCCCGGGCGGGGTGACCTGAGAGTAAGCTTTTGGCCAGGTCGTCCTTCTTTGGACCGTGGTTTCCAGTTCAGTTAAAAGAAAAAAAAAAAAAAAAAAAGCAAAAGGAAATCACTCACCTCTCTGGGGGCGTAGGGTATAATTTCTTAAATTGGATTCTCCTGCTGCAAACTTGGGAGTCGGCCAAGTGTCCGTTGTATGCCCCAGTCCAAGATCCTTAACCCTCTGCATCTCAGTTTCTGATCTGTGGACTAGGTTATTAGTCACATCATCTGCCGAATAAGTTGCTGTACTCAGTGAGCTGATCCTGGTGCATAGTGTAGAAGCGTGCACGGCCCTGAGCAAGCATCAATAAAGCTAACTGCATTGCTGCTGAGTGGACCCTGTGCACGGTGGACTCCCTCGTAGTCCCACAGCGGCGTGGGGGGAGGTGTACTACTATTTATATTTGACAAAGAGGAAGATGCAATTTCAGAGACGTAACTTGCCCAAGATGACAGTGAATAAGAGAGTGGGTCATTGCCCCATTTTTTTAAAAAGTTGAGGGTTAACAGAGTAAGTTAAACTTTGGATCCACACTGCCCGCATTTGGGGTTCTCGGTTTCGTGTCTTCAGGCAGTTAATTCCTAATGAGTCTCCGTTTCTTGATCTGTAAACCACACTCACTTGGATGTTGTGAAGATTGAATGACTCAGTACATGCCAAGTACTAAGCGTAGTATGGGCATACCCCACACATGCTGAGTGCTCAGATTTTAGCCAAAAATGTTGTTGTTGTTAATTCGAGGTGGGAAGATGAGGATTCTGACACAGACGCCGTGTTAGGGAAATTTATAGTCTAGCTGGGAAAATGCAAGTCCTCATTTCCTAGATCTTATTATATTTAGTACATGCACATACACAAGGCACTGGGGACTCCACATTAGTATCTTGACTCCTCTTTTTCTTACATTGCTCTATTCTTAAGCAGTTCTGGCTTTGACCTTGAATTCCAGCCAGACTGACGGCTTCTCACCTCTACTGATCATCTTTTTACTTGGATTATTACTAACTGGCGTCCCTCTTTTTTTCTTTTTTCTTTTTTTTCTTCTGGCGTCCCTCTTTAGGTCCTTTCTCCTGCCTAGTCTCAAGTTTTGTGTATTCTCAACACAGTGATCCTATTAAATTGTAGGTCAAATCACTCCTCTTCTCGAAGTAGGAGTGATTTGACCTACAATTTAATAGGTCAAATCACTGGACTTCTGCTGGCTCCTATCTCACTCAGTAAAAGCCCGAGTCCCTAGAAAGTTTTAAAAGACCCAGGAGATTTGGCCTCTGCTACCTCTGTCATCTCTTCCATACCTTTCACCCTTCACTTATGCTACTCTAGCTATACTAGCTAGAGTAGCATAAGTGAAGCTATACTACTACTCCTGGGTAGCTATACTTTCCTCTTTGCTAATGTCAAAAATGTTATATATATTGTTGCTTCAGGGTCTTTGCATCTTGAGATAGTTTCCCCCAAAATATCTTTGTGACGCTCCTTTTCCTTCAAGTCTATACACTTTATAGACTATTTATTTCTCAGACCTTCATAGACTACCATATTTAAAATCGTAGCTCTTCTCAGATAACTCTTCCGGGCTTTAGTTTTCTCCATAGCACATTTCACCTTCTGATGTGATGAATGTTTCCTTAGGTGTGTTGTGTGCTATCTTTCTTTTCCCACTGGAATGTAGACTTCATGAGGCTTGTGGTGTGCGTGTGTGTGTGTGCGCGCACGCGCGTGTGTTTCTGATTCCTGCAGAAGTATATACCAAAAATAGTGCTTGGTAGGCATTCAATAAATATTTATTAATGAATACTCCACAATATATTTCCCTTTGTAGTGTTTTAAAAAGATCTTCCAAATTCTTTAGATTATTTAACATATGCACAGGGATTTAAATAGAACTAGCATTCGTAGAACGATTCTGAGTTACTGCTAATGTAGGCATTGTTTCTAAAACATTCTCCAAAAAATAGTGGAGTGTAAACTCTATAGTTAGATTTGAGTTTGAGTCCAAGATTGTCTGCAGACTACTCTCGTTCTCAGTTTTCTTTTCTTTTTTTTTTTTCTTTTTGTTTTTAAGATTTTATTTATTTGCTTGAGAGAGGGAGAGAACAGAGAGGAAGTGGGAGAAGCAGACTCTTGGCTGAGCAGAGAGCCCCAGGGAGCCCAATTCAGGGCTTGATCCCAGGACCCTGAAATCATGACCTGAGCCAAAGGCAGATGTTTAACTGACTAAGCTACCCAAGTGCCCCTTGTTCTCAGTTTTCTTATTTGTCAAATAGATAATAACGATGCCTTTTAAAAATTTTTTAAAGATTTCATTTATTCATGAGAGACACAGAGAGAGGCAGAGACATAGGCAGAGGGAGAATTAGGCTCCATGCAGGGAGCCTGATGTGGGACTCCATCCAGGAACCCCATGACCGTGCCCTGAGCCAAAGGCAGACGCTCAATTGCTGAGCCACCCGGGCCTCCCTTGATGCCTTTTTTTAAAAGTAATCTCTCCACCCAACATGGGACTCGAATTCACATCCTGATATCAAGAGTCAATGCTCCACTGACTGAACCAGCCAGGTGCCACCTAATAATGCCTTTCTTATGGGATTCTAGTTGAAACTAAATTTGAAACTATAGGCAGAGGCTTTAGACCATTACCTTATGATTACAGTAGTGCTCCCTCCCTCTTCTGCAGAGCTTACTTTCCAAGATTCCCAGTGGATGCTTAAAAGTGCAAATAGTACTGAACCCTTATATACTATGTTTTTTTCTACGCATACATACCTATGACAAAATTGAATTTATTTATTTATTTTTTAAACTTTTTTTAAGATTTATTTTTATTTATTCATGATAGAGAGAGAGAGGCAGAGACACGGAGAGGGAGAAGCAGGCTCCATGCCAGGAACCTGACGCAGGACTCGATCCCGGGACTCCAGGATTGCGCCCTGGGCCAAAGGCAGGCATGAAACCACTGAGCCACCCAGGGATCCCCATAAAATTGAATTTATAAATTAGGCATAGTAAGAGATTAACAATGATAACTAATAATAGAAGAACAATTATAATAATACAGTATAATAAAAGTTATGAGAATGTGGTCTCTCCTCTCAATATCTTGTCCTGTACTCACTCTTCTTGATATAGATGCCTACATAATAAAATGTCACCATGATGAGATGAAGTGATTGTGATGTAGCAGTAGGCTACTGCTGACCTGATGATACCAGACCATGGTTGAGTGTGGGTAGCTGAAACCATGGGAAATATGGATGAGGTGGTGGGGGTGGATACTGTGCTGTTAATTGGATGGCCAACAATTCATGAAGCAGACATACAATGTACCACTCGTAATTGCTTCCTGTCTCCTGGAGCATAATAGACAAGGATTAATTTTTCTTTTCATTTGTTTAGCAAATATTAATATACTTCTATGTGCCAAGAGATGTGTAGTCCTTGGAAATACTGGTATATTCAGAAGAAACTATCTGTCCAGAGTTTAGCAGAGGAATTAGACATTACAGTATTATAGTTGTGAAAAAGACTACATAGAGTACAGGTTGCTATGCATGGATATAGCAACAATAGTGATGGTAATAGAAGTAGCTAATGTTTATGTAGCTTTTGTTATATGCCAGTCACTGTTGTAAGATTTTTCTATGTTAACCCATGTACTCCTCATTACACTTCTGAGGTGTAGGTACTGTTATTGTCCTAACTTTACATTTGAGGAAACTGAGAAATGGACTGGCCACATTGTAACTGACACAGCCACATGGTTAATAAATGGCAGAGCTAGGATTTATTTATTTATTTTTAAAGATTTTATTATTTAGAGAAAGTGTGCAGGACGCCTGGGTGGCTCAGTGCGTGATCCTGGAGTCCTGGGATCGAGTCCCACATCAGGCTCCCCACAGGGAGCCTGCTTCTCCCTCTGCCCGTATCTCTGCCTCTCTCTATCTATCATGAATAAATTAAATCTTTTTTTTTTAAAGATTTTATTTATTTATTCATGAGAGACACAGAGAGAGAGAGAGAGGCAGAGACACGGGCAGAGGGAGAAGCAGGCTCCATGTAGGGAGCCCGACATGGGACTTAGTCCCGGGTCTCCAGGATCAGGCCCTGGGCTGAGGGTGGCGCTAAACTGCTGAGCCACCTGGGCTGCCCCGAATAAATTAAGTCTTAAAAAAAATAAAAAACCTGGCCACAGAGGTCCCATTCTTCACTACTTTATGGTATGGGGGACCTAACCCAAGGAAGGGCTGTTGGGGAGGCTTCTTAATGAAGAGATTACTTGAACTAAAATCTGAGAAGAAAAACTTGAAAGTTGAAGTAAGGGAAAGCACAAAAAAGTGCTGGGTAGGGAAGAACACGATTTACAGGAACAGCCAGAGATGGAGGGCAGAGTGAGAGGCAGGTGTGGCCCTGGTGAGGAATCCGGATTGGGCCTGTCACGGAGGCATAGGAGTTAACAAACCTACTTGAGATAGGAATGGTGTCATGGGTCCTACCTGGAGGACCGTCCTTCACATGGATGAAGACCATGCCCCCCACTTACCCAGGAATTCTTTTTTTTTTTCTTTAATATTGTATTTATTCATGAGAGACACACAGGTAGAGACACACAGGCAGAGGGAGAAGCAGGCTCCATGCAGGGAGCCTGATGTGGGACTCGATCCGGATCTCCAGGATCACACGCTGGGCCAAAGGTGGTGCTAAACCACTAAGCCACCCGGGCTGTCCCCAGGACTTCTCTCCAAGTTAAAACCTCCCAG